AAGGAATTGGCACTGAAATCAATAAATCAAAAGCATTTAAATTAATGAAAGATTTAGCTGAAAAAGATAATGTAGATGCTCAATATAAACTTGGATGTTATTATGAAGAAGGAATTGGCACTGAAATCAATAAATCAAAAGCATTTAAATTAATGAAAGATTTAGCAGAAAAAGATAATGTAGATGCTCAATATAAACTTGGATGTTATTTTGAAGAAGGAATTGGAACTGAAAAAGATTTTAAAAAATCCTTTTACTGGTACCAAAAAGCAGCAGAAAATGGTGATGAAGTTGCACAGTATAATTTAGGAGAATGTTATGAATTAGGGATTGGTGTAAATAAAGATGAAATTAAAGCATTTGAATTTTATGAGAAATCGGCCGAAAATGGAGACATTAGTGCAAAATTTCAACTTGGATATTGTTATATAAATGGTATTGGAACTGAAATTAATAAAGAAAAAGGATTTGAATTATATAATGAGGCAGCTGGCACTAATATCCGAATTAACCTCATTGAAAGTGATGAAGAAATAGTAAATGATTTAGACAAGGTTAATTATTGGTATCATAAAGCCGCCGAAAATGATAATAAACTTGCATTATATAAACTAGGTGAATTTTATGAATTAGATAAAGGTGTTGATAAAAATGAAAGACGTGCATTTGAATTCTATATGAAATCAGCTGATCAAGAATATATAGATGCTCAATATAAAGTTGGGTATATTTACAATTATGGAACTCAGATTGATATTGATAAAGAAAAGGCATTTAATTACTTTAAGATGGCTGCAAAGGGAGGAAATGTTGATGCACAATATAGCCTAGCATCTTTATACGAACGAGGAGAAGGAGCCGAAAAAAATATTGAGAATGCTATTTATTGGTACAAAAAAGCTGCAGAAAATGGATGCCTAGAGGCTGAAAAAGGTTTAAATTTATTATCAAAATAGATAACATAAATTCTAAAAATTTTATCTTAGAATCTCGATTAGATTGATTTATTAAAGCAAATGCAATTAAAAAGATTAATTTCACTCTAACTTAAATAGGGCGCAGAAATATATATATTAGGGTCAGGCGGCGAAAAATTTTTTTACTATGAGCTTTACGCAGTGACTTTCTATATGAGTAGTACGCATAATTGACACCTGGATATTGAAAATCCTGCAAAAATGCGTAAATAAAATTTCAGACATTGGAGTTCGAATAAGAATTTTCACATATTAGCTAATTAGTTAATATTCATATAAATAATTACCCATTTACTGGTTGATATTTTTTTCCTAAATTTATCATTTATATAGGTGATTTTTAAAGGGAGTTAGATTAAATTTTAGCGAAAATAGTGTACAAAGCAAAACAATTATAAAGAAGCTATATTATTCTTAAAGATTATCATGCCGGAGGGATTAAATAAAAAGAAAATATGTAATCCATACTACTTCGTATCTTGAATTCTTCTTTATCATTTAACCTCTTGTCTTTTATTTCATCAAAATCAAGGTCATCATCCTTTTTTTTTTTAAAAAAAAAAATTTGCATTGAATTTCTTTATTAAATATTACCGATGGTACATATATTAATATTGAAATACCCAGAGGCAGTGATTAATCACATGACCCTATAGCAAACCAAAAGAGTGTGAATATATATACCTAAGCGTGCAAAATTAATCCCTCAACAATACTGATAAGAGAAAACTCTTTTAGTAATAAAAAAAAATAAATAAAATAAAATAAATAAATAAAACACTGATAAGAGAAAATGTACGAAAAATGCTATAAATACAACTATAACCCCACAATGAAATCAGACTTATTCTAACTAGCTAACAGACCTAACATAAACAAAACCTAATAATTGACTGGAATGTGTTATATTACCGGATAATAAAAAAAAAATTTTATCTCATGCCCAGGATCTATATCCCGCCGCTTTCCAACATCCATTACACATAACCCTATTTTACCTACAAAACAAAAGCATTAGTATGTATTCCCGAGAAACTAAATCAAATCCAAACTCCTATTTTGAACAACGAAGCTAAAGCAAATCGACTATAATAAGTACGGTTGGTCTGGAGGAGTCGTCCAATCTAGAATCCCAAGAACCCATTCCAATATGTCCAAAATTTTATTTCCAAATTTTTGTCTCCCTTTGTAATTTTTGTAATTTGTTATCGGTAACAATTTTTTACGTGAAATCACGTGACTTAGATTGAGAGCAATATTCTCTCAGATCTCTGTCATCCCTCATTCTTCATCGCTTTTCTTCTGAGCCTTCCCTGCTCTAGCCTCATCAATCAATTTCAATAGTTTTTGCCTCGAGCTTTCTGACGGAGTCAAGGGATTCTCCGCATCCTTTGGCCTTTTTTCTCCTATCCCCTCTTCGTCTGTAAATCGATTTTCGTCCCTTAGTCGTTTTGTGAAATCCTTGTTTAGCGTTGTGTATTGTTGCAAAATTTCACTTTGTTCCGCTAAACTGATGATTTTACGACCTAGCATCATGAAATTGTTCGTTTTCAACCCCATTTTTTTATCTATTCCATATTCGCAAGTCCATGTTCCTTTCCCAGTGTAGTTAACGCCTCCGCTCCCACTCGATTTTGTTAGAAGTTGTTGTAAAATCTCAGTCAGTTCCTTTAACTTTCCCTAATTTTCTTAACTTCTGCTCCTTCAGAATACCGTCGGTCTTTTTGTATCGATCGTACTTGATTTTTTCGTCCGCGCGATACTTCTTTATGACCTCGACGACTTCTTCCGGCGCGGCATTGTCCCGTTTCAAAGGTTTATTGTCTGAGATTTCAGCCTTTTAACTTCTGTATCTTCGATCATCGAATCCAGGTCCGGTTCGTTCCTTACACGCCATTTATTAATCATGTCCATTATTACCTCTTCGGTTATTGGTGTACTTTACTGTCGGTTTTGGTTTCTACTGGCCGCGATTTTTTCGAGCTCCACATATATTCTAGTTGAAGGCGTCGATGGAGTAGAATATTCCACCGCAAGGTTGAACCGATGATTTTTTTTTTTTTTTTTTTTAAACCTGTAATGCATCTTTATTAACATAGGGATTTGCCCATTCGTTTTTCAGATACCTGGAACCGCACGTGCCGAACACGATACGACTCCATAACATCTAGTCTAATGCATAACAACAAATAACATAAATAATAAAATAAAAGTAAAAAAAAAAACAAACCCTTTCCTAACTATAAACTAAACTAAAACCAAACAGTATATGATGGATCTAACTAAAAACACAAAAGCATTTTTGTAGGGAAAAACGAGTGAAAATTTGTAATAAGACTGAAACCTAAGGCTATTAAAACAGATGGATCCCAATAGATCCACGTCCAGTAGACAATATTCCAACTTTTTCCCCTCATCCCTACGGTGCAGAACCTCTATAATAGGAACTTAAAAAAATTTAAATAAAATTTGATTCTATGATTGAATTTTAATTTTATAAAAAGAATTAAACTCTATTTGTTAAAAGGAATCAATTTAAAAAATAAAAAAAAAGTCTCAATTTTTTAGATTATGTAAGCATCACGTGATACATATATTAGCCAATCAGAAATTAGGATTTTATTAATTATATGATATAAAAATTTATATAATATATTTGTTTATTGTATTTCATTATAAACTGATGATTGATGAATCAGGTACATGATAATGAGATTTATATTTTATTATATGCATTTTTTGATTAAATTAAAGTAAAATTACTTAATTTTTGAATTCTTTTGTTTATAAATTTATCTGAACTGTCTTTTAAATATCATTATTTATAACATTAAATTATACTTAAATAATTTTGTTTATTAATTTTTTTTTTTGCAATATTAGAACTTTTTTTTCTTCTTAGCATATTGAAAAAAAAATCTGAAGTAAAATAATAATTAATATTACATTAAATGTGGCTAAAAAAGATCTGTAATGCAAAAATTAGACTAGTCTCAATTTTAACTAAATTTTGTCAGTATATTTAAATTACAGATTTTTAAACAGCTAAAACTTAGCCAAAATTTAATTTAGAAAAAAAATAACTGATAATTTTTAAAGCTAATGATCATATCTATAAAAATTATCGGTTAAATTTTTTACTTTAATATAAAAAATTTTTTTTTTAGAAATTTATAATCAATCAATTGTTACTATACATAAGTAGTTGAGTATAGAGGTTCTGCACTATATTACATTTGTATCTTATTTTTCTATCGGAAAAAATTTTATAACGTAAAATCACGTGACTTCGATTAACAAATGTAAAATTATCCTATTCGTCCTCATTCGTCTTCTTAGTCTTGTTCCTTCTTCTTCTTCTTTTTCTGATCCTTCTTCGTGTCCTTTGGTTTTGAAATTGTGACTCCTGGAGATTCCAATTTAGGCCTTTTCTCTCCAGTTTTTCTTTCATCGGTTAAATAGTTGAACCGATGATTTAGCAGGCATATCTTCTTCTTTTCTATCCCCGGTCGTCGCTTTATTTCTGTATATCGTCTAATTCGTCTTGTCCTCTTTTTAATGAAGCCTCTACCACCGTTTTCATTACATTCGTGTCGACAAAATACACTATTATCTTCCAACTTTCGTTATTTGACGATTTTGTGAAGGCGATTATTGGATTTTTTGATGAACTCGTATTCGTTATCCTTTGCTTCCTTCATTTCTTCGTCTGTTAAGTCTAACCAGCTTCCATTTGTCGCGTTCTTGCCAAGCTTTGAGTCCTGCTGCGGCGTCGTACTACCTTATAAAACATTTGCTAATACCTATTCCAAAGGCGCCTCTCTGACGAGTTAATTCAAAATTTTCGTTCAAAAGAATTTGTGCCCTTACGGATTTATATTTGCATTGTTGTTTTACTTGGATATGAAAGACTTTCCCTATCTTTGCTTGCCAAGTTGGCCACCCATATCTTCTTCCCTCCAGAAACGTGGTACGTCGTAGAAAAACAAGTCACGTGCTTTCTCCTTATCTTTTTCCCACTGATAATCTACTAAAACCGGAATATTCATGATCGGTCCCTTCTTGCTTTTTTTTGGAGGATCGCAGTCTATTTTCTGATTTTTTATACGTTCTTTTTTAATGTTATCCATGCCTAACTCGCTTCGTTCGTCGAATTGTGTGATTTAAAGGTCACCATCCTTTAAAACTTTTTCCTGGCCATAATTTATTACTTAGTATGTGCCCGAGTTCTTTATTTCTAATTATGAAGGCTTTTTCATCAAATAATATAAATTTTATTAAATCATCAGTCAACAAGAATTAAACTTTTCATAAATCATAACGTTATGTTGGCATCTAACAATTTAAAATTCTGTGGCACATGTTTAAACAAATTCTAGACTATATGTCTGATGTAGGTAATTTTTTAATCAAAATATAAATATATAATAAATACATATAAATATTTAAAGCAAATTAAAACCAATTTTACATTGCAAAGTTTTTATTAACATATGATGTTCAAGCACGTCTTACTACACAAAATTTTTCAATAATATCTTTTAATTTTTTTTTTTTTTACGTCTCATCTTTTCATTTTCTTACCAAACAAAACCTAAACCTTTAAATAAAAAATCATTTATTTTATTACTATTTGGCCCATCATTCGGTCCACATTTTAAAAACATTTCAAACTTATCAATTTGGAATATGATTTATTTATATACAGTATATTCAAGAAATGGTTCTCCTTTTTAGGAAGCTCAATTTTATTTTTTTTTCACTATCGTCTTGTCATTTTCATTCTGGTAAATAAAATAAGAATTTCTTTCATAATTAAATTATTACTGTAACTATTAATTCAAATTTTATATTATTATTATTTGATTTAATTTTTATTTGGTTTTCCATTTGAATCCTTCCTATATCATTTTTTAATTCTATTTTTGAACCTAAAACTTTATTTATTATTTTCTTCTTAACTTTCTTTTCAACTTTTTTTAAGGACTGATCAAACTTTACATAATCATCAATTTGTAAAATATTTTCGCTAAATGTAGCGTCAAGATTAAGGAATTGAAGAAAATGTTTTGTCCGGTTCGTTTCGTATTACATTTACATTTAGTAGCGAATGTTACATAATCTTTTGGGGCTTATGATTGTCTCTATATTAGTAATTAGTAAATCATCTAACTTCAATAATTCATATTTACCGATACCATACAACTCCTAAATTATAAATTTCAGCCTTTTATCATCTTCATTAAAGCCTATGACATCACCTATTATAATTTATAAATAATTTTTTTCATTATCGATAAATTTCAATAAATTTATTTTTTCTATTTCTTCAAAGTTTTTAATACTGATATAACTTACAAACGTCGAAATAAATAATGCGGAATGAAACTTTACAAGAAATAATAAATGATTTAACACGTAACACTTACTTAATGATATTATTTTCTTGAGTAAAACAAAGATGTAATCTACTAGCTGTAAATTTATTAAAGATATTGTGTTCATTTTCTTTACAAAATTATATAATTTCCTCTTTTTTGAATCTTTTTAATATAGTTTCTGATAGCATTTTTTCAAGATTACAAACTAAAAAAAACATTACAACTGATTGTATTAATATATTTTATAACGATTTATGTTTGCGAAATAATTTATGTAAGAAACATTTTTGTCTCTAAGTGCTTCAAGATGGATAAGTTGAGCTTGAGGTGCGGGCTAAAATCTTTGGTTGGAAGCTTGACGAAGAATCGGATTACTATCTCCAATCTCGAACGGGTTTGCTTTCTGCATTGTTCAAACATTTCTCTCTCGATTGCGACGAGATTGGTGATGGTGCAGTATTGCAGTCGAAGTTTGTTGCTTATTTTTCCTTTTAATAAAAAATACAAATATCCAGTCAAGTTAGTTATATATATTCGTTTATTTATATGAAATCAGCTACAAAGCAATGCATCATAAACCATAGTAAACTATTGACAATACGGCAAGTAAAAAAGTATAGTGTAAAATAGGGAGCATAAAATGTTAAACCAAATAAAACTCCTGTCACTTCTGTTCCCTCCTTTTCTATCAACTGCGGTATCTGAATTTTGGACATCTTTAGCCAAAGGCAGCTCGTTTTCTGTCTATGCTATAAGCAACTCGTATTCTGTCTTTCGACTGCGGTATCCGAGTTAGACCTGCGGTCTCCGAGCTCAAATCTGTCCAAGACAATTCATATTCTGCTGATAGGTCTGGCCGGTCACTTCTGTTTCAGTGGAGAAAGATCTTTGGTAACTATGCTGCTCCCCATTACACCTATGACTGACTATGAACCTCCAAAAGCCGCCTGCAGGAACGGTGGAGGCCCTTGTAATGATCATTAATTTTCTATTTGGTTTGATCATCAAAAACTTTGCATGATTTCATACAAATTTAATGTTTATAACCCCCTTGCTGAACTTCTCAAGTGTAAATATTTTTTACACTTATTGTATATTCATCATAGTATAAAACTCAGAATATTATGAAATAAATTTGATCATAACAAAAAAAATATTCTCAAATTATAATTCCACAAAGAATCCACACCTCATTTTTTCACCACTTTATAGCTTCCCTCTTCCATATGGCACTTCACTGTGATGTCTCTTCTGCATCTTCTTAAGAACGTAGATTAGCAATATCTATAAAATAGATAAAGGTGAAATGAGCTTTAGGTCCATCAAACACTAACGTCTGTTTTATAGACGGTCTCGTTAAAACTGAACCACTTGTTGTATATGGTAGACAAAGCTAAGTACGTCTTAAGTCCCCAACCTATACTACAATACCAACCGCCTTAAGTGCTCTTTGATATGATACTGACCTATAAGTTTTCTGGGTGTCGCTAAAAAAAAACTTAAAAGACTCACGTACATGTTCACGCTGTCTAAGTATACTACCGGGGAACACAAAAGAAACGTGAGCTACTTTAAAAATTCTTTACGTTGTTTGTTTTGTTTGTTTAGAAATAGATGATCTTAAGGAATATTAAAATATGCAACAGCGAAAAGAAAAAGTGTATTTGTATACCTCGCGTTTTTCATTTTCGCGTGAGTAATAGTTTTTTTTGTAGTTATTTTAGTTTTATCTATTTTATCTAATTATACTTTATTCTCCGCAAATACAAGAAACTTTTTTTTTCCAAATATGGATTACATGTTAACAAATTTAATTAGTCGTACTACTATCACGTCAAAGTAAAATCAGTTTTCATGTGCAGTTGATGCTGCGGTTGATAGAAATCAAATCAATTTATTATATCAATATGGCAAATATAAAATATAATTATGTTACAACTTCCTATTCTATAATAATTATATGAGTCAATATGTGTATAATCCTTTTGAATACATAGTGATTAATAGTAACTTATTAAAAAATTTAGATCTCTATTATATCAATTAATTTATAGTTATTTAACCTAAAACTAGTAAACTATTATCTTAAAATAGTAAATACATTTTCAATCTACACCGATTTTTGTGAATAGTTTTGTCATTAGTAGTAGACTTAATATTTTAATTATATAAAACAGATAAGAATTGTGCATATTCAAATTTTAGTAAATGAATAACTACTTCTCACGAGAATATAACCCATAAAAAATCGATGTATAGAAATAGTCCATTTTACATAAATTTTTAGAATTACATAATGTAATTTTATATATAAAGAATTCATGTTTTTTACAGTTTTTTTAGATACCCTATTATATAAATTAATGATTTTGCAAAATTTACTTTAAAAAAATTTTATCCTAAAGTTATCCTTTTTGTTACTACTGGGTAACCACTTTTATCAATTTTGTTGAATTAAATATTCTTGTTTCTTCTAATAAGACCCTAATTCATTTGATAAAGAAAATTTTGATGATTCGATTTAGAATATAATACTTTGCTGAACTTTATTCAGTATTAGAAAAACTTAACCTACTTCACCTATAATTAAAAAATCAAAATTTCACATTGTATTTGATAATAAAGTGATAAAATTTTAATATGCATATTATCACTTTTTTACCTTTCATTTGGTGGCAATGATTTTTCATAAATTTTATTTTCAACGAAATACAACAATGGTGGTAGAGTGACCGATGGTTGATCGATAGCCTCAACGCATCCCAATATATTGGTAATATTTAAAATGCAGAAAAAAAAATTAGTAATGGAAAATTTTGGTTGGTTAAAATTCAATTGTCTGGTAAGTATTTAAAGTAAATAGATAACTTTACCGTCGCAGTCACGTGACAGTAACAGAATAAAATAACGAAATAAATGTGTTATTACCGCCTTATAAATGAAGGTTTGTAACAATAATAAATGTATTGAAATAAATATGAATAAACAATAAATACAAAAATAAATCATTAACGAAAAACTATAGTAACCTGCAATATTCCAATAGCAATAATGAAAACAAGCAAAGAAATGTATGGTACATGCAATATTAAATAACTAATAAAGTAAATAAACTTAATATCAATATTATTATAATATTTTGATAAAATAAAATAGTCAACTTCATTTTCTCGTTATGACAAATAACTTTTTTAAAAAAGTATCATGATTTAAGATTGATAGATATTCTCGATAATCTCGATAATCACGCTTTTATATTATGATAGATTTTATCGAAGTCTAACTGTCATAAGATCTAATCTAATCACAGTCACAGTTACTAATAACTAAGAGAAAGTCTATATTGTATCACAAAGAGTTTGTACAACTAAAAATACTATAAAAATACCTATTCCCACTTTTTGCAATAAATAATCTTTCTCATCTCTAAACTTTCCATATCTAAACTTTTCCATATTACTACCTGAAGCGCTTTCGCAATAAATTTTCCATATAATATACTACTTGAATATTTTACGCGAAATGTATGACCATTAGTTATAAGTCTTGTAAAAGTTTAAGGCGTCCATGTATGAGTTTAGGAGGAAGAAAAATTGTAAGAGGGAAAAAAAAATTATTTTCAAGTCATATTAAAAAATTTTATTTCAGTCTCTATTCTGTTTCTCCCTTACCGGCTAAAAGATTAGAAAGTATGTGAGAGAGAAAGAGAGACCACAAGAGTGGGAAGAAAAAAGTAAGAAGCGAGAAGGAAGAGAGATCCTCTTCTTTTATATGATGATTTTTTTTCGTGCTTCTAACACTTCTCCCGTATTTAAAATGGATTCTTTTTCTTTCTCTACGTATTTTTTCTTTCTCTACGTAATATCTTTGCTCTAAGTCTTTTCTTTTTCTTTAGAAATGACCTTTGGATTATAAGAAAACTATAACTGCAAATTACCGGATTTACAAGATTTGATAAACGTGAAAGTAAAATAAGGTAAGAGACCTGTTCCTTACTGTTAACACATGCGTCATCTCAGGATACCGAATCATTATAATTTAATGGTTAAATTATAATGAGGGTGCCGCAAAATCTTCTCTTACATGGCAGGACCATGATAAGGATCCTCATACGCATAATTTAATGGAGGTTGGAGGAAAGTATGTTAAGTGGGGTGGTTGTATCTGATTGGCGGTCCCTAATAAGGGTGACGTTAAATTCCTTAATTCCTATTCGTTTTCTTGATAGACTATTTATAAATTTCCTTTTGCTAATTAATCGTTACAGTGACCCGTGTTACTCATACATCGGTGCTTTTTTTTGTAGGCAATTTTCTTATGATCATATGATCATATCCTTCTGTTCCTTTCTCATGGTATATTGCTAAGGTCCTTACTTTTAGTAAATTTATTTTTCATATGATTTACAGACGGAAGTAAAGCAAGTTAAGAGACCCGTTCCTTCGTCATTATGGTAAAGTTGTTCAACTGCACAACCTAGATAATAATTGTTCTCTTATAAGGATATCACAGAAATAATTTTTTTTTTTAAAAAAAAAGTGATTTTTTAATTTTACAGTACTTTTAATTATGAACAGTTAGGGTTCCTTATAATTAAATAATAATTTACATTTGAATTAATTTTCGTAATTCCTTGCTTGAAATTTGAGATATGCGAAAAAATGTGAAACATGTAAACATATACACATATACAAAAAAGATAAACCTGTCTCTTATACACATCTAGATGTGTAGAACCAAATGTAATGAAAATTTATAATAAACGCAAATATTAATGGTATTTTCAAAACAGTTATTTATTGCGCTATCAATATCATAAAGTTTAAAGAAAAAAATAAAAAAGAAGAATAATATTTCTCGTTCGTTTATTTTAATATATTCGAAAATGTCTATTCAAATTCATTTTCTTTCTTTAATTAATAAGGACATTACGGTATAACACTCTTACGACACGTTAGAAATTTTTTTTCACGAAACTATGAAAATATTTAATAAGAAGGATTTCCTAATTTAAATCGCATGATTCGTTTATTCAAATTTTTGACATGATTATGTAATCCGCTCTTTCGCGTGGTGAAGCAAAAGAATCCGTGATCAATCCGATAACGGTAGAATGAACGTTTACGACCTTCTAACAGTAACGATACGAAATATTCAAAATTCCACGTCTGGTAATACTTTTAATTCTGAGATTTCTTCGATTAACATAACTAACATAACTTAAACGTCACATCAATAGTCCCAGCATCTCTGATTGGCCCTTTGTCTATCTTCGAGAAAAAATTTATATTGTTGGATTATACGGTTCCTTTCCATAACATTCATTTTTACATATATATATATATTTTATTTTTTAAAAATTTTCTGTTTTTTTTTCTTTTTTTTTCAAAAATTTAAATCTATTTATATATAAGCAGAAAACTGCTATCTCCGATTTTAATTCCTCGTATGCTATAATGAGATTTTTAAAAGAAAAATAAATTTTTTATTGTTTAACTGGTTTTATAGTAATCAAGAGTTTGAACTTGTTTCTTTTATATGTACGTACGTATATGTAAAATGATAAAGATCGACTGGTTCAAACTTTAATCAAGGAGTTTTTTACTAGTAGAACCGTAGAAATAACAGGAATAATATCATAATATTGTGTCAAAAACAATATATGCACGAAGTTTGCATATGTATTTAATTAATCACATAAGTGAGAGGGAATACTTTTTTTTTCGAAAAAATAAAATAAAAAATAAAAAAATAAAAGATAAAAATAAAGGAAAGAATTAAAATTCAAAAAGGTTCCGAATTCACATTTATGAACAAATCTATAATAATTATTTAATCGTAAAATTTTAAATCATTTATTTACAATGTTTTTTTTTCCCTAAAATTTATTTGATTGCAAATACACTGCTCTAAAAATATAGATAAATAAATTGTTTTGATTTTTATATATAGTTTCTTTTATACAGTACTTAAACATATTTTATGTCTGACATCATATTATTAAATTAAAATGTCTTTAACATTTAAAATTTAAAAGTGTAAAAATTCAATGCTGCATTTTTTTCCATTTTTAAAAAATCAATTATAGGAAAAAGCTCAATTATAAAGAGATAATAAATAAGTGAACATAAATCTTAATCTAAAATAAAATATAACAACAAAACAAAAGAATAAATAAATATATAATAAATAAAGTTATTAATTTTAGTTGAATAATTAATTGGAACATTTAATTTCTAATTTACATTTTAGAATTTAATCGTTCAAAAATTTTCTTTCACAGAATTTAAATTTCCATATATAATATTAGAGCTCCATATATCTAATTTGGTAAGAGTCATATTACTCTTAATATTATCACGGCGAAAGGATTAAAAAGTATACAATCCGTAATATAAATAACATAAATAAGGTCTGTATCTATTAATAAATATTCACTTTTCCTATTCTTTTTCTTATGAAAAGATGTCAAAATGTCAAAAATTAGATATCTTTGATTAAAAATTTAATATTTTCGAATATATTGCATTAAAATCTATCGTCACTTTCAATTTTAAAGAAATAATTCATGAATTAAAATTGATTGGATAATTTTAAATCTGAAAATACAACTTATTATAATAATATAAGTGATATCACAAACTCAGACTCAGAAGAAATTCTGTCTGAAGAAAAGTTCAAATAGACTCAGAAAGAAATATATAGGGATCAGGTGATGAAAAAATTGGCCGGAATTATAATAATGTCAGTCGGTTACTATAATAGGAAATAATATTCTGACTGGCATTATCAAAAATTATCCGAAAAGGGAATCAAAATACGTTGACTCTTTTAAATATTTTTCTAGGTCCCCGTCACATCTAATTTGACTTATTATGTTAATGTAGTAAAATTTTTGGTATAGCATCCTCTTTCAATATGTAGTATATCAACAAAGTTTGTAATCAATTACATTTATTTAATTGGTTAAATTAACAATTTTCGAATTTTTAATTCTGGCCGAAATTTTGTTAATTCTGGCCAAAATCGTAATTCCGGCCTAAATTAATGAAATATTAATTAATTAAAATCGGTAATTTTTACTGCCAAGATTCTTTTAAACTAACTAAAATTTTGGCTTTTAAAGCCTATTAAAATATTTTTAAGAGACTTTAATTATCATTAGCTAAAGTGTTATATATACACCTATTTTTAAAGTATCACCTAAAGTGATCGACAGTTACTGTACTTCCATGCACAATTACGTTTAGTAATACCAGTCTTTATAATAAGCAAACTTAAATTGCATGAAAAAAAAAAAAAATATTTACTTCGTCAATAAAAATTAAGAAGCCCAATAATGTCTAATAACACTGAGTCCAATATACCCGTAAATTTTACTGAAAATTCAAATAATGAGTGGATTAATTGGATTGAAGAAGCTATTGCAAAAGATTACTTTAAATATTATGAATTCAATCATTTTAGTAATTTTAAAGAAATTGGGTTTGGAGGGTTTGGGAAAGTTTATCGTGCGAACTGGAAAAGTTCTCCTAGTTATTTGGCATTAAAATCTTTTTTCAATTTTAACAGCGTCACAATTAAAGAAATAGTTAAAGAGATAATAATAATAATTATTATTACCTTATAATTTGTATAACTTCTAATTTAAAATTCTATTTAGCTTAAAATTCAGCGTGAAGTGGATTTTCATGAGAATATTATTCGTTTCTGTGGTATTACAATAGGTACAATATACTTTCTTTTCATGCATAATTTGATTGTAAAATCTAAATTTATTATTTTTTATTTTTTACAAAGAAAATCAAGTTGATAATTCAAAAAAATATTGGTTGGTAATGGAATATGCAGATGGAGGTACTCTTCGAGAATATTTGAAAGAACATTTTGATAATCTTACTTGGAATAATAAATTTAATATGGCACTTCAGTTTGCTTGTGCTATATTATGCTTACACGATGAAGGAATTATTCACCGTGATCTGGTAATTCATTTGTTTACGTTTTGTTATTTCATGTTTGTTGAATTGTAATTAATAAATTTATTGCATTTAATAATATTAATAGCATTCTAAAAATGTATTAGTTCATCAAAATATGGTTAAATTAGCTGATTTTGGTCTATCAAAAAGAATTGAAGAATCATCCAACCTTCAATCTTCAACGAAATTATTTGGAGTAATTCCTTATATTGACCCAAAAAGTTTTAGTAATCAAGATTATAAATTAAATAAAAAAAGTGATATTTATAGTATTGGAATACTTTTATGGGAGATATCTAGTGGCAATCCTCCTTTTTATACTGAAGGTAAACCGTATGACGTTTGTTTAGCAATTAATATATCACAAGGCCTTAGAGAGACACCAATTCCCGATACACCCGAAGATTATGTGAATATTTATACTGGTAAATATAATTAATAATTAATTTTATGTTTATATTAATGTTAATTAAATTAATTCTATCTATTCTTTTTTAGATTGTTGGAATAATGAACCAGATAATCGTCCAACTATCAATCAGGTGGTCTTTAAATTAAATGCAATTATTCTGAAGAATAATAATAACATGATTATAAAAGATTTTCGGACAAATGATTCTTATACAAACCAATTATCCAGTAAACAACAAATCGATTTGAATGCTTTTGAAGATCCTATAAATAATCCATCACATGGGGAATTATCCAAATTTATTCAAGAGTTTAACAAGATGAATACTAAAGAAATAGATTCTTCAATATCATCAAATAATAACTTTAAGGTGACGGTTGATGAAATGGTTGAACTTTCTAATAAGGCAAGCGTAGAAGCGGAAGAATTAGATAGACTATGTATTTATAATTATCTTAATAATCATAATATGACTTCACAGGAAATTTATATTTGGTTATTAAATAATCAAAATTATTCAAATTCTATTGTTTTACTTGGAGATTTTAATTATTTAGGAATTGAAATTAATATTGATCAAAAAAAGGGCATTTGAATTATATTAGGTAGCTGCAAATTCAGGAAATATTATAGCACAATATAATCTTGGTTGCTGTTATCTATATGAGTATGGTGTTTATAAAAATTATGATAGAGCTTTTGAATTATTTAAAAAATTAGCTGAAAGAGAATATTCAAATGGAATAAACTGTTTAGGATATTGTTATGAACAAGAAATTGGAACTGATATTGATGAAAAAAAGGCATTTGAATTATATCAAAAGGCAGCAGATTTAGGAAATGCGACTGGAATGAATAATTTAGGTGATTGTTATAAAAAAGGAATTGGAACTGACATTGATGAAAAAGGGGCATTTGGATTATATCAAAAATCAGCAGATTTAGGTAATGCGACTGGAATAAATAATTTAGGATATTGTTATGATCAAGGAATTGGAATTGATATTGATGAAAAAAAGGCATTTGAATTATATCAAAAATCAGCAGATTTGGGAAATGTATTTGGAATAAATAATTTAGCATATTGTTATGAACAAGGAAATGGAACTAATATTGATGAAAAAGAGGCATTTGAATTATATCAAAAATCAGCAGATTTAGGAAATGTATTTGGAATAAATAATTTAGCATATTGTTATGAACAAGGAAACGGAACTGATATTGATGAAAAAAAGGCATTTGAATTATATCAAAAATCAGCAGATTTAGGAAATACGACTGGAATAAATAATTTAGGATATTGTTATCAAAAAGGAAATGGAACTGATATTGATGAAAAAAAGGCATTTGAATTATATCAAAAATCAGCAGATTTAGGAAATGCACTTGGAATAAATAATTTAGGATATTGTTATCAAGAAGGAATTGGAACTGATATTGATGAAAAAAAGGCATTTGAATTGCATCAAAAGGCAGCAGATTTAGGAAATATTATAGCTCTATATAATCTTGCTTTTATGTATGAGAATGGAAAAGGAATTGTTAAAGATATAAATCAAGCAATTTACTGGTATAAAAAATCTGCATTACAAGGAGATCAAGATGCTCAAAATAAATTAGAACAAATTCATGCAAAGTAAATTGAGAATATTTTTGCTTAAATGTTTTAAATAAAATACACAAGCAAAATACACTGCTGTTATAGGATTTATTTCATTTGTTTTTTTTTCTTTTATTTATTGTATATTAAAGCAATAGCATTGTTTGCCGATGTTGCTCATTAATAGCTTTAAAAGATTTATTTAAAATAGATTCATAAGAAATAAATAAATAATAATATTTTTTGTTGACAACTGCTAGTAGATATACACATTTTTTATGTTTATTTACTAATTGTTAAGTGCAATGTTTAAAATATAATCATGTTGTCGAAAAGATCCGAATTCTTTGGAATTCCACACTTCTAAAGGTAAAAAAAAATCGGCATTGAGAATTGCTCTTTTAGACTAATTCCGTAATCTGTGCTATATACTTTTCGAAAGAATTAAAACTTTAAAATCTGTAACAAAAGATAAATTTTTAGATAATAATACGTGCATTACTAGCCAATAATGTAAAAGCGAACATTATTGAGCTTGATGGAGTATTTTCGTTATATTGTTATCACAAGTTAAAATTTTTACTAGAATCTCCTGGTTCAAATGTAAATCTCAGGGGTAAGTCATTCCGAAGAATTCTTCGGAAATTTCTATCGGCAAAATATATGATTATGTGTTGAAACTAAATAAAATTTATATCTCATTTATCAGATGTTTTTACATTTTCATTTTATTTATTCGCTATTCGCATTTATTAATTTTGTCATATTAAAATCAAATTATGGACTTAAAATTTTTTTTTTCATTTAGAAGGATGATCAAACTTTCAGTATTATTAAAATAGTTGCGTTCCGACAGTTACAGCTATAATATCATGAATGCAAAAAATTGTTATCTAATTATCTAATGCAAAATTGCCATAGTTAAATTATTTATTAATACTTGTTCAATTCCAACTCCTATAAGTCAATTTTTTTCCCTTACTTTGATTGTCTTATTCAATCCTACTATCAAATTGTAGCATCAATAATTAATAATTTTCTGATTTCTAGCAAGATTAACATCGTATCTGTGAATTATTAATCTTACCGTACATTTATATTATATCATTGTAATACTTTACTATATATTTCTAAACTTTTTTTGATTATTACAAAGAAAAAAAATCCCAATTAAATATGAAACAACTGTTAAGAAACGGTTAGTATATTTGATATTATTGTGATTGCACAAGAAAGTTGTTTCTGGAATCATGCGTTAAATCTTTTAAGAAAAATAATTCCGAATGCTATTTTAATAATATCTAGTAGATATTACGTTCAATAATTCAGCTATATAATGCTAATAATCACAAAATAAATGTTTGGATAATGACGTAACAAATGTAATAAAATTCTTAGATGATTCGTAAATTAAGACTTCCTATTAGATAAAAATAATCAATTAATATTGCCCTCGGATGATATTTATTGCTTATTTTCTTAGAAGTTATAAAAAGAGAAAAGTTTTCGTTTAATAAATCCTTAATTGACAGATAAATCATTGGTTAAAACAACAAAATATAAAATAATTTTGTTGATCGATAGATTTTTGGAATATAATTTTGGCGATCTTATTTTTGCGTTTTTTAACCTCCCATTACTTCTCATTATTCCAGACTTATCGTCTCCCATTATTTTCTATTTTTTTCCATTATCTCTTTTTCTCTCCTGTTTACTTCCCATCATTTCTTTTGTCTCTCATCACTCCTTTTCGTCTCCCATCACTCCTCTTCATCTTCCCATCACTTCTTTTCGTCTCCCATCACTCCTTTTCGCCCATCACTCCTCTTCATCACTTCTTTTCGTCTCCCATCACTCCTTTTCGCCCATCACTCCTCTTCATCTTCCCATCACTCCTTTTCATCTCCCATCACTCCTCTTCATTTTCCCATCAATCCTTTTCGTCTCCCATCACTTCTCTTCATCTCCCACCATGTCCTATTTCTTCTTTTTGTTTCCTATCATTACTCCCTTTCATCTTCTATTACTTTCCATTACTCCATTGTTATTTCATTTTTTTATTAGCATCTTTCTCCTTGATCATTGTAATTTACTTATCTTTTTATTTATTGTTATTGTTTCTTTTATTTGTTTCACTTCATTAAAAATACAGTAACTTTTTTTCTTTAAAATCGTAAATGTGTGACTTAAATTTTAATATTTGCAAATAAAATCACATTAGATAAGATTATTTTGAATAAATATGTTTGCAAAAAATTTTTTTTTTTTAAAATATCATTTGCGATAAAATTTGATCAAAAATTAGCTAAGTTAAAAAAATCAATATATTGTACATCATGGGACATATTTGAAAAAACCCAAGCGACAATCACCAGGCGACGTTTAGAAATTCCCTTAAATTTTTAAATTTTTACTATTTTTAACTATTTTAACTTATAATAAACCGAAATCTGCCATTTCTCTATACTTAATTTACTCATTATAAATAGAAAACATCATTTGTTTATTCATTTTATTAATTTATTTATTTTAACGAAGCTTATTTATAAAAGAGAGATCAACAATTTGCATATTTATAAATCATTTTTTTTTTACAATAACTTTTTTTTTTTTTTTTCTTTTCTTTATTAATATTGTGATAATTATATAAAACAACCTATCACAATTTAGACGCTATGCATCTGCTAATAAAGTAACTAATCTAAAAATTTCAAAAATCAAACTAATAAAACCAAAATATTTTATAAATATACAAAAAGGTTAACTAAAAATTTCTATCAACTATACTAATGTTAGCCATCTTTTAATTTTAATTTAACCCTTTTTTAATTAAAATTTAAGCTAACACACTTTATTACAAATTTACAATCCTTACTTACCTACTTACCATCCCTTCTTACTTTTTTTCTTTGACTTCCTACTTTTACCCCTTTTTTACTTTTTCCTCCCCCGTTACCTGTTTTTTCCCTTCTAATATTGTCTCACCATTTTCCGATTCACTGCTATCTTCGGTACCTTCACTACTAACTGTTCCCCTACTCAATTCCTCTTTATTGACTCGCTTTTGTCCAATTTTTTCGTCTACCACAATTTTCTCTTTTTTAATTTCAGGTGGTAAACGTGATTTACAATAACTTTCACTTAAAAGATCTTTTAAAAGCTCCCCCATGAAAATGACCTCTGTTAAATATTAAGATTATCTTTCGCCGATCAGCCGGTTTCGAATGGGATAATCAATTTTTGCAAAAAATATTAATATTACCTAGGGGATAGATAAATAACGGGGGGGCCAACTCAAGTTAGTGGTCATGAGACCGAACTGAAGCCATATGTAAATTTATAAGAAATCATATTAAAATATAACGTACCCCATGTTTTTAAAGTGGAAGATCGGCCAATAATTTATTTTAATTTAATAAAAAATTTTTCTGCCATAACGGCAAAATCCCAAACTATGTAAATATGCAATTTTTTTCAAAATATCGTTTCTATATCCTTTAAAAAATACGATCAAGCATTTAAAATACCTCTAAACCATAAAAAATTTTATCACACATTTGAAAATATTATAAAATAAAAGAAGAAAACCCTATTTTTGAATGTTTTAAATAAAAATATTTATAACTATATATTGGAAATTCCAAAGAAAAACAAGATAGAATCTAACTTTTTACTACTAAAGTAACAAAAACTTGTAAAAATTAATAAATAAATAACCAGTGGTCCAATTTAAGTAGAAACACTTCGCCTATATAAGGTTAACATGGATAAACTTAACTTTTGAAATCGGCTACGTTTCTTTAAACGTGTATCGAAAAAAATAAATTTTTGTACAATTTTAATATAGGATTTCTCTTGTGTAACCATTTTTATAAGACTTCAGTTCGGGTAGTTTTTGATGTCTGTGTAACCCTGAGTTGACCCCATCTATCCCCTAGATATTACCGTTATTCGGTAAAGTCAAATATATGTATCATAGCTTTAATGTTTGAAATAGAATTCTACACTAATAAATAATAATGCAATCAAAATGTTTAACAATATATTTGGCTTATCTATATTTTAGACACGAAGAAAAATATTTCGTCAAATATTTAGTTTATCATACGTAAATCATGGATTTGTAGACTCATTCACATCTTTCCCCCAAAATATTTCTGCATACAAACTTGAACCACCGTTTTTGTAAATGTCAATTAATCTAGTTATTGCCACTATAGTAAGAGCTGTTGTGACTTTTGTTTGCCAAAAATTATTACTTAATACTAAACCACTCCTGACAGATTGAATTAAAATCGCACTAATAAGAAAAATAAGTATAACGAATTTTCTGATGTTCAACTGTATAATCCACCGTTGTTTGTTCCACAATTCGTTCCACAATTCGTTCGATCGATTGTGCCAAATAGACAGAAAAAGGATCCATGCAGCCGCCAAGAATGATACTGCAATCCACCTCAATAAGTTACCAACGGCGCAAGTTTTGTAAAAATCCTTATTCATGCTAAATTCATTAGGGATATCAATTTGTTTAATAAAATTTGGATTAACAAAGAAAAGAAGCGCCGTGATAAATAAAATAATACATTTGTGCCCCTTTATAAACCCCTTTTTTTCCTCATCTTTAACATTAAAAAAAATCGCACAAAATAAGAAGAAAATTGAATAGATAACTGTAATGACCCCAAAGGCTTTGGTAAATTTATTTTCATATTTCCACCACATGAAGAAATAATAAATATTCATGGCATGAAGCGAACCAAAAATTATAATGTCGTCCAAAATATCAAGGTAGTTCTTTTTCTTGGTCTTTTTATTATTGCAACCGTCATTCTCATCCTTAGTTTTATCACTTATTCGTGTGGCTATAATGGTCACTACGACACCTGTGAGGAAATCTCCCCAGAAATCATTATATGGATCGTAGTCTGTCATTGCAAATTTTTAGTAAACAATTGAGAAATATTTGCGAAAAATATGAGAAATTATTTTATCAAAACGCCGACATGGGGACAGATGGTTATTTTAAAAATTGTGGGACCAATATTCGTGATTCCAAATTTAATTCGTAATTTCTACTTAACCGAATTCGTTAATTAAATGAAAATTATGCTTCCAATCTTCCAAGTGCATACCTTATCACTGATCAAATTATGTCATGTATCTCCAAATTTATTCTAGAATAAAATCACTTCAGAACTCATTAATATTATTTTTATTTAACTATTTCCAAAAACAATGGTACAAAAATAATAAATATTCTAGCCTAGTGATTATCTTTAGTAATCCTCAATGAAGACTCTCTGGTGTGGAGCATGCTATGAACCAAATTTGTTCAGTAAACGAAAAAATTCACAATAAATATTCTAAACCCACATATTAAAGAGACCTGCTAGTGATTGTTTTTAGTAAAGACAGTCTGCATGTTATCAAATCGAATCAGATTTTAAACTACCATCCCTATGAAAAAAGAATGTCTGGAATTTGTCACAAAATTGTTCGGAAATTGTCCAGTATACCTATAAAATGTCTGGAAAATGTCCGAAATTATGAAAAGATATGGTGTCCGGAATTATAATACTTTAGACTGCGCCATAAAATGTATTCGTTTTCATTTTTTTTTTGGAACATCATTTATTGGATATTGGATGAATATGAAAAAGATGATTATCTTTAATTTCTCTGACCCAACAATCAATAAGAGCTTCATATTGTGTGCTATATTTATACAACAATCTTACATACTACACATATGAAACAAAACAGGGCGGACATGCTTTTATCACCTGCCGATCATTTAAACTTGGCCGGATTTGGTTAAAAAAAAATTAAATATAAAAGTTGAAATAAGATAAATTTATAAATAAAATTTGAAGATACATTAATATTTGAAATTTTCAATTGGAGCAAAATTAATTAATCTATTTATTATGTGATAAAATCGAATAATCGCACTAAAAAGATGAATATGCATGGCAGAAGTTTAAAAGTTTGCATAGATATTCTTCATATCATATATAATCTATGAAAGTAATAATATAATATTTGCGCTCATAATACAGGTTTTTTACTTGTGAAGAATTCAGCTAATTATAATATTTGCTTATTAAAAATTAAAAGTTTGTTACTTATGAAAGTTGGCCAGTAATGATTTGATTTACAAAAATCTATTTAATTAAAATTTAATATAAATAAGATTTTCAGTAAATTTTGGTAATATTCTGATATATGAAATTTTTCAATAAAGTAAAAAAAAAAAATATAACGGCACTAGTGATAAAATTGTGAATGATCGACAAATGATCGGCAAAATTGAATTGACCAATGAACATGTATAAACATAAAACTAAAACAATGTTTATATTAAAAATTAAAATATTATGATATCATTTTATTGAGTAAACAACATTTAAAGACTAGTAGATGATTTGGAGTATTTGCCATGATGATTCATTGATTCAACATTAACATTTATCGATTTACAAATATTTTGTTTTGGTAGGTGATTTTCACCGCACCAAGCATTAGCAAATATTAACGGGCAGAGTTTCATGAAATTTTTAATTCTGCCCAAAATTCTACCCTAATTCTGGTAAGGTGACAATCGCTGGCAGCGATGATATTTAGAAATACACATTTTATTTGGCTGTCGAAATTTTATTTTTCACAAATTTTAGAACAAATTTTGATCCCAACGATGTAAAATTGCAAAGAATATAATATCACGATATTATTCAATTCTTTGGATAGTAGATTTTTTGGTGAAAAAGGTATTAGGAATAATATATATTTCGGGGAATATATTAGATTTCTACAATGTTAGACATTTTCCTTGTATTATAAGTTATTTTTATTTTTTTAGTAGGTAAGGTAGTAGTACTAAGTAGTAAGGAGGGTGTGTGTAGAGACGACTGGACGAACAAGATTGGCACGTATAGGATTTTAGTCTTAACTGGGTGGTAGCGATTATTTCCATTATTGTAGTTGACTGCAATGTATTTTATAAACGTGATAATAGCAAATACCAGAAAATCGGAACAAATTTCAAATTTGTATTATAAAAAACCAGTATATTGGTAAGAAACTCGTAAAGTTATCATTTCACATGGTGAAAAATCATCATGAAAAATTATCATGAAACAATTGAAACATGATGATTTTTCACATAGTACTTCCAAAATGGATGAGAAGATGCAAAGATCGGTTGTGATTTTTTGAAGTTAACGAAGAAATGAGCAAAATGTGGACTTTCAGAAAACTTAGAGAAATCATCAAAACAGATCAAAAAGAGGGTAAGGACGTAAAGGAAAGAGGAATGACAAAAAAACTCTCAATCAATTGATAATGTGTTAATGGTTAAGTTGAACAAATTAAAGAATAGTTACTACCACTCATACTGTTTCGGGTACCAACTATTAGGGTGATTCTTTTTTCAGAGTATAGAGAACAAGATTCAATGTCAGAAAAGAAATCCATTCTGGATGCTAGTCACTTAACGTTGATCAAAATGTCAAGGACAGCATTTCACACACTGAGAATCAAGTTCATATTTCGATTCCAAAAGTACTACCTGACAAAGTATACTTCTGCTTTGAAGAAAGACTGTCAAGATCGAGGATGTAGTTCTGACAATCAAGAATTATGAGAAGAGTTAAAACACGCAGAGAATCAAGGATAGAAAATTTGGAAAATTAGAGATTCTTGAGGAAAACTTTTATTGATTCTTTGGGTTTTTGAAAATTTTCAAGAAAAAGAGTAAAGTTAAAATTATGATGATCTCAATGCCCAATTTCAAAAGACTTCAAATAAAGTCAAGTCTGGAACAAATAAATGAATAAGGAAAATGGACAAAATACACAGGATGATCAAAACTTCGTGAAAAAAAGTTAACCGGTGTATATATAATAAATTTTGATAATTCGACAACACAAAAAAAAAAATATTTTAAATTTCACAGAGAAATTGACAGAATTATAACACTCCAAATATTTTTTTATAATAGGTGTTGCAGATGTTACTCATTCCGCCCTTGGTGAATGCGAAAGGGTGAGGAAAGAAAATCGATATTCGATAATGGCCAGAAATGGCGTCATTTAAATTTTAGGATTATCATCCATTTTTAGGAAATGCAAAATTAAAACAATTCTGTCCAGTATATATTAACTACATAACTACAAATGTACAAATGTACATCATCGTGGCCTCCTACCTTAGAAAATAACGTCATTTCCAAATTCATTTTGAATTTCCCAAACTATTAAATAAAATAAGGATACTAATTTTCGCCCCAGGTTCTCATTGGGTCCGACGTGGAATTAGCTCGGATTCCATATAATGACGGCAGAAAACATGGGTCCGGATGATTACAAATGATTACAAATCAAAAAAAATTCCAGTTGTTGATCAATCGGATCCGGTTCACCATCCAGAATCAATGGAAGTAGGGGCGAAAATTAGTATAGCCATTAAATGGCTAAAATAATACCAGTAATGAAAATTATCTCTGAAAACATTTAGTGAAAAGGGCATTCTTAAAATGTAAATAGGAGAATTATGAAGCGCCATTTCGCTTTATATCCGTAACACAAATTAGTCATGTGCCATAAATATAACGTTAGGCAGAATGCAATAATAAGTTGGAGTGTTGGACAATCCACAGAATTAGGATTCATTTCTTCTTTTCTTTTTTATTTAATTTATAAAAATAAATAAATAATGGCTGATATTGTTACCAAAATTATCACAAAATTTACTTGATATTTTAAATGATGAAGAATATTATGATATTACAGTTGAAGTTGGTAATGATCCATATATAAAAATATTTCGTGCCCATATTACATTATCGTTCTCCTTACTTGCGAAGAATTTTGTCAACCAATAAAAAAAAAATGATGGAACTTTAGTACATCTTAAATTACCAAATATTTTGCCTGAAATTTTTCAAATAATCTTAAGGTAAAATAAATGATAAATAATTGACGCTTTTTTAACAAATAATAAATAATTTTTTTTTAAATTTTTTATTTATAAAATTTTATTTTTTAGTTATATATATGGTGGAAACATTTCTTTAAATGAATATGATAATTCAGATATAATTCAAATCCTAATTGCCGCTAATGAACTTAGTCTTCAAGACTTAATCACTTATTTACAATCCTTTTTTAATTGAAAATGAAACAAATTGGATAGAACAAAATTTTAATTTGGTATATCAAACAAGCTTCGAAAATGATTCTTTCTCCGAACTTCAAAATATTGTACTGATTTAATGACGAAAGAACCAGTTAAGTTATTTAACTCATTGAATTTTTCCTCAATTCCAGAAAACTTTTGATCACAATAATTCAAATGATAATCTCAAATGAGTGAAATTCAAGTTTGGGAACATGTTCTTAAATGGGGACTTGCACAAAATCCAGAACTTCCTTCTGATATTACAAATTATTCAAAAGATGATTTTAACGCTTTAAAGAGTACTTTACAACAATTTATTCCATTTATTAAATTCTACAACTTAACATCCAAAGAATTTTTAGATGAAGTATTTCCTTATAGAGAAATTCTACCTGAAGAATTATTTATAAATTTATTAAAAGACATTTCTAAGTCTTTTGGATCCTAATATCAAGCCAACTGATAATTCAAAACCTTGTATAACTAAGGAAGTTAAACTTAAAAGCAATTGATTCAAAAATTATTACATCTCAACATGCCAAATTGATCTCAAAATGGATTGATAGATTAGAAATTACTGACGAATCTGACGAATCTTCTCCATATGAATTTAAATTACTGTTTTGCGGATCTCTTAGGACCCAGAAATATATATAAAAGGGTCAGGTTTGAGTTTGCGTATTTTAAACTAAAAAAATCATGAAAATCTTTCCTTTTTGAGATAATTTTTGATAATGCCAGTCAGAATTTTATTTCCTATTATAGTAACCGACTGACATTATCATAATTCCGGCCCTGAAAAAATGCGTACAGCTCATAGTAAAAAAAATTTTTCATCACCTGACCCCTATATATATATTTTTGGGTCCTGATCTCTTGATGGATTTTCACGTAATAAATTTCACGAAATTTGTGACAACAAATCACGCACAGTAACACTTGTAAATAATTTGAAATTTATGATACTTTGAGGCGCAGTAAATTATAAATCAAAAAGGTGTAAGCTTAGAATAATTTAAATGAAATTGACGAAGAGATATTTCACCCAATCGATTATTTCTAGAAAACTGTTATGAGAAATTAATTAATTATTTCCAGAATAATCATTATAAAGTGTTAATAACTAATTACAATATTTATGATTGATTGGCATAAGTTCGTATTATTAACGAAAATTTCTCCCAAATTTTAATGTATCATTTCATAAAAATTGTAACAATAAAGAAACTACTATTTGATTAGTTGAAATATCAAATAGTTGGAAACATACTACTATTTTGTATTCAATTTTGCAAAAGGAAAATATATTCTGTTCTACCATAAAGATACAGTATTTTATACTAATATTGAAGGAGTGGGTTATACTGTTTGCTGCCATAATGACATGATAACAGATAAGTAATTACCTTAAAAATTTCTGTTATAACTTGTTTTTAACGTATATTCCCTTTTCAAATCTTCGTTAGTGAAATTTATTTAGAATTTTAAGTGATCAAATCAAGTAAAGTTTGTAGCAAAGATTTGACTTACGGTTGTGACAAAACTTTTTGGAATAATCATTAACAAAGTTAATAACAGCCTTTGACATTGAATATATCGATAATAATGGATTATTATAGTTTAGGAGCATATATATATCGTAGTTGTTGATTTTATTAATCAGTTATTTGATCATGATTTTTAATGAAGAAATTTTACTTGCTTTAATAATATAATACAAAATGTATAATAAAAATAAATTTAATAATACAATACAAAATGTATAATAAAAATAAATTTAAATAATATAATACAAAATGTATGATAAAAATAAATTTAATAATATTACAACATAAAAAAATTAAATAAAAGAAAAAAGAATTTCAATCGTGTAATATGTCTAAATGACGTTATTCATCTGATAAACAAACTTGTCATCAATAAAGAAAGATCCTCTTTTGCCAAACATGTCGAACACATGTCATAATCGCATTTATAACAACCTAAACGTTTTCCATAATAATACTTTCCACATTCATCGCACATCCACATTCCTGATGTTTGTGTATAACGGAGAGGGTGACGACTTCGACAGGTACTCTCGGGCTTGCATTCTTCTCCAGACTTGCAATGGCTAGAGCAAGCGTCAAAATTGCAAAGTTCACAATGATATTGGGATACCTGTTCATACAATTTACAAAAAAAAAGGCAAGTCAATATTTCAAAAAATAAACAGGAATATGAAAAACAAAATATATTAAAAAAGACTACCGTAGAATTACTATCTTTTCCACACACGTCACAATACCAACACCCTTCGTAATATTTCTTTTTCAAATCATGTCCTTCAAAACATTGAGGTGGTGGCGGACGTATTACACTATTCATGGAAGCAGATACGTCGATCAAGAGAGCATAATCTATCGCCACTTGGCAGAGATTTCTGTGTCTTTGAACCTCGGCCCATGATGCGGAATAGTTACCAACTGAAATATTTCCGACCGAGAGAGATAGAGAAGTGGTGATTTCGTGAGCAATAGTCAAGAATACAAGTTCAAGAAGATAAAAATCTTTGACGGGAAAGTAAATAAAGTTGCCAATGCTAGCCATCTGATTCATTTTTAAAAATATTGAAGATTGATGCTCAATAACGATTTAAAAAATTATTTACTTTTCAATATCGAAACATGTCTTGTTTCAAAAGAAATATAACACCGACGTGAGAAAAACTCTTTTTAAATAAATTTAAATCTTGATCAAGAGAAAAAAAGCAAAGAATGACATACCTGTTCCATTTTCGTTGAATCTACACCGTCTCCAACTCCAACTACAAACAGGAAATTATTTGATTTCTTTGTAAATAGACGTGATATTTCTTCAGCACATTTTTTTAAACCTCGACTGCTACGATTGTCATCACCATCAGTCACGACAACCAAAATCCAGGGACGAGAACGATCACCATTACGTTGAAAAGTTTTTATGACATCAATCATACTGTCGTAAAGGCGAGTGCCACCACTAACGACGTTGCTTAACCCGTTAAGTGAACGATAAAGTGATGCTTCATCTCTGGTGAAGGACTTGAATATAAATTGAAAGAATGTTGGTGTTAAAAGATAAATGAATGAAAACAGTAAATAATTTGACATCAAAGAGGATCATTTTTACCTGTCTTACTACCATAGAGTCATTAAATGTTGCAATACATCCACGATCTAATCCATCACGGTGTAAATTCTTTACAAGCTCGTTGCTCGCCTTGATAGCACAGCTTATTTGCGTGTTTTGAGTGGTTGCTCTTACAAGTACCATTTCTTTCGCAGGTGTTGTTATATTAGTTACGAGAGATTTTAGAAAATATTATGGTCTGAAATTTTGTAAAGCGATTATTTATTTATAAAAGCTTTTTGATTTATTAAGTATATTATTGCTGACCTTTTTCACGACAAGTGACGTTAGATATCGTTAAATAAAATAAGAACTTTATTAAATAAATTGCGTTGTTTGGTTTATTATTACAGAAAAATATAAGACACGAATTTTGGGTTAACAAAATATAAAATTTATTGGGTTAAAAGGATTAATTAATGTGAGAACATCCCAAACTCCTTTAAACTTCTCTCAAAAGTTACTCTTTATATAACTAATTTAGGGGTACTTATTTTAGGGTTATTAACTTATAATGTTTCAGTGTTTCAACTGTTTCATTGTTTGTTATCCTTTAATGTTAGCACGTCCGAAATGCGGGACAGGCTAAGCCGATCACGGTGACAAATGACGGTGACAAATAAGTTTTGGAAAATTCGTCCCCTCAGATAATTAGTGATTTTGAACTCGTGCTTGCACGTGATCAGGTGACGCGTAAACATTACTCCTTCCTATTATAGTTGTGATCGGTCACACATTTCGGACGGGCCATTATTATATGTTTATCAGTTTATCACCATGCGGGTCTTATTTTCATATTTCGTTTCATAATAAAATGATATTGTAATGCCGAAAATTACCTAGTGAATTTATTAATTGTGAGGCTTGTGAGGCGCAGTATTATATTTAGTTTAAGTGTAAAGTATTATAATTTTAAAGTGTTACAAATGACATAACTCCGGGAACATGAGTCCCGAGTGTAATAAATGACGTATTTAACTCCTAGAACAAGAGTATAAACTGTACCATATGTGATGTGTAGTATTACATAGTTATTTTTATTATTTTATTTTTAGATTTTATTATTTGAGAAAATTAGTTTGAAGATCAATTTATAACAATTTTTGAATATTGAAATGAAATCAATTAAATTATATTTTCGACGGAAAAGTAATGTTAAAGAGTAATTATTATTAGCTGTTAGGGGTAAAATTTAATGTTTTCGAAAATGGAAAAGTTTTATTAGAAAGTGGTGGAAAATTATATATTGAAATATATGAATTTGAAAACAAAAACAGAAAATATTTTACTGATTTTAGAAATTTATAAAAAGGGGTGATGAATTCAGGATCTACAATTTGTTTAGTATTGCATTAGAACAAAGCATTATATATATATTTTTATATTATTATTAAATAAAGTATTATTTGACCTTACAATATACAGCTTAGTTATTTCAATACTGGGCCACATGTTACGAAGTGAGTTGATATTATCATTTTTTATATTATGGTAAAATTATGACACTACAAAATCTCGCAATCTCTAATTATTATTTTTTTTTTAAAAAAAGAGGTAAAAAATCTCTAATTATAAATTTTGTGTTACAATAATTTTAAGGGGTTATAAAAATTAATCTAAAAAAATTAAACCTGATTTTGGTAAATCATGACATTTATATTTCTATTTAATAATTAATTACATTACAGCCGGTAAGTTACAATATATATATTTATTTGTTTAACATTTTATATAGCTCAAGTAATTATATCTTTTATATAATAACTAGATTGTAAGTGATATACTTAATTTACAGTAAATACTTTTGTATTATATCAATCTAACTAACTAATAATTAATAATACTACAGTGTGTAAGTCATATGTTATCAACATTTCTATTATTTACGTAAATTGAGCTAACAAAATTCTATTTACAAAATTATTGGGTAATTTCTTTTAGTTGGTAATTATATTAATTATATTATTACAAATTTATATATTATTAACATAATTTAAACTAACCAAATTCTTTATTTGAAAATTTATTTTGTGAAGCAATATTTTACAAATAATATAAACTTTAAAAATTATTTAATAATATAGTTTGTAAGTTATTTATTTAATTCTATTATTATTACAATATTTATATATAATATTTGCAATCACTAAATTCTTTATTTCAAAACCATTTAATAATACAGATTGTAAGTTTGTTTATTTAATTCAATTGTTACATATTTATGTAATATTTGCATATAATTAAAATAAAAATATTAATATTATTAAAAAAAATCAGGTTTGAAAAAAAAAATTAAAAATATTAATATTAAGTCAACCTTATGCTGCGGTCGATTGCATCATTCCAAAAGGATGGAAAAAAAATGTGATTAATAAGAAAAAACCAAAACTTTTTTTGATAAAATAACACTAAATTTTCTGTTTAATAGAATTTGCTTGGAGTTGAAAAATGACAAATTCTTTAATTTCACATAAAAAATTGCAAAAAAAAAAAAAAAAAATACTTGAAACAAAATCAGAAATTGGAAAATTTTCATCTTAGTCAAAGAATGAAATTAGTGAATTTACTCATCAATCTAAAGAAGAAATTTTAAAGGTGACAAATTCTATAGGATCTTTAGTGGATATTTTTGACTTAATTCATTATTGTAAGTAAAAATTTCATTATAATACTGTATATAGCTGATATTATTTAAATCTCAACAATAACAATAATTGTTATTTTAATAGTATTTATCACAATTAAGAGAAGTTGGATATTTTTGACTACAGTATTACTATTGTTGGAATAGTAATAAGTAATATTTGTATTAGGTAATGATTAAAGTAAAATTTAATACAATAATTTTTAAACAAACTTGTAATTTATATATATGGATATGAAATCTTTACGCATTTTATTTCTATGGTATGTTAATACTAAAGAGTACAACGTTTTTAATACCGTATATATAGCATTATTAACGTTAATATTTATAATCCATAGGAATTATATTGTCTCAATACTTCTACATTCAGTAAAATTTTGCTTCAATGAGAAAATATATAGTGATTTGTATTCATATGTATGAGAAATAAAAGAATGCATAATGAATAAAATAAAAAATTGTCACAAGATAGTGATCGATTATAAGGTGTCTATTGATAACTTGTAACTTAAAAGTTTACATGTACAATGTGTACATACAGAGGGATAAATTATGGTCCTATCATAATTTAGCTCCACATTGCCACATTTTTGGTGCTTAGCCTTATGTTTGTTCAATAATGTAATTGTGGCGCAAGTACGAAATTTTGCTTACTCTATATAATTTATGGATTATTTTTTATAAAAGATCAAAATTAGAAAAGATAATTAATAAATAGTATTAAGAAAGTAGCTGAACTAAGATATTAAAGTATCTTTGTTCTTACTATATTTACTAACATGTTTCAATGTTTTATTCTTCCTTCATTAGATAAATCTCAACCAATTAATAAATACATAAAGTATTTCATTTCTTACAAACTTCATTTTTTTTTTTACTTCATGGTTTTATTTTTACTTGGTTTCCTATCATTACTATCTTTTACTACCCAACCTCCTATAATGATCATTTTTATTTTTTGTCTCTAATCATTTTTCACCTCCTATTACTTCTCATTATTCCATACTTTTCGTCTCCCATTATTTTCTATCACATCTTTTCATTTTCCATTAACTCTTTTCTCTCCTGTTTGCTTCCCATCATTTCATTTTGTCTCTCATCGCTTCTTTTCATCTCCCATCACTCCTTCATCTTCCTATCACTTCTTTTTGTCTCCCATCACTCCTTTTCGTCTCCCATCACTCTTCTTCATCTTCTCATCATTTCTTTTCGTCTCTCATCACTCCTTTTCATCTTCTCATCACTCCTTTTTCGCTTCCCATCACTCCTTTTCGCCTCCCATCACTCCTCTTCATCTTCACATCACTTCTTTTCGTCTCCCAGCCATCACTTCTTTTCGTCTCTCATCACTCCTTTTCATCTTCCAATCACTCCTTTTTCGCCTCCCATCACTCCTCTTCATCTTCTCATCACTCCTTTTCGTCTCCCATCACTCCTCTTCATCTTCTCATCACTCCTTTTCGTCTCTCATCACTCCTCTTCATCTTCCTATCGCTCCTTTTCGTCTCCCATCACTCCTCTTCATCTTCCTATCACTTTTTTTCTTTTCCTATCACTTCTTTTCGTTTCCCATCACTCCTCTTCATCTTCCCATTACACCTTTTCTTCTCCCATCATTTCTCTTCATCTTCCATTACTCCTCTTCATCTTCCCATTATTCCCTTCATCTTCCGTTTCGTCTCCCATCACTTCTTTTCTTCTCCCATCGCTCCTTTTCATCTTCTATTACTTTCCACTACTCCATTGTTATTTCATTTTTTATTAGCATCTTCTTCTTGATCATTGTAATTTACTTATCTTTCTATTTATTGCTATGTTTCTTTTATTTGTATCACTTCATTAAAATACAGTGATTTTTTCTTTAAAATCGTAAATGTGTGACTTAAATATTAATATTTGCAAATAAAATTTCATTAGATAAGATTATTTTTAATAAATATGTTTGCAAAAAATTTTTTTTAAATTTAGCCGATCAAAAATTGGCTAAATTAAAAATTTACTCTAAGAGTAAATTTTACTGTATATTGGGGGTCTTCACAAAAAACGTGATTGAGATTGAGATTGAGATTTCATATAGAATTTTCAATCTTAATATGTTAGTAAGATTGAAATTCTATACTAAATTTCAATCTCAATCTCAATCACGTTTTTTGTGAAGTCCCCCATTGTATTGTACATCATGTGACATATTTGAAAAAACCCCCTAGGCGACGTTTAGAAATTCACTTTTACCATTTCAACTTATAATAAACCGAAAACTGCCATTTCTCTATAATTAATTTACTCATTATAATTTATTCATTTTATTTAAGATAAAGCTAGATCTAAAAAATTTATTTATTTTAACGAAGCTTATTTATAAAGGAGAGATCAACAATTTGTATATTTATAAATACAATAACTTTTACTTAAAAGATCTTTTAAAAGCATGTCAAGCTCCCCCATGAAAAAAACCTCTTGTTGTATAAACACGAAAAAAAAAAAATTAGAAATTTCCGCATGTATTTGATTATATCAACAACCTAAATAGGATTATAGCAATAAGGATATATTTAAAATATCCGAATATTCAACTTTAGTAACTTTAGTAAAATGTAAAATTTTCATTAATGAAATATATGAACTTGGGTCTGCTGCTACTGACAATTTTTATAACAGAGAAATATGTGATAAATTGAAGACTTCTTTATTATGTTAAATGTTACAACAGGGTATTAGGTCACGATAATATTAAATATTTGATAGTTAATATTTGAAAAGATATAATATACTAGGAAACGGGAACCCGGAGCGAAAAACTAAAATTTGTGATTTCATTGGGTAAAGATCACGTGGCGGACAGAGAAATTCACGTGATCGATTTTTTTTCATAGTGCGTAGACATACTGTATATTGTCCTTCGCTTCGCTCCGGACAATAAAATATATGACAAATAAAAAAATTTTTTTTTTTAGCTAAATAACATAATAATTTAATGAATAATAATAAAACAATTTTCAGAGCTTATATTCATTACGAAATCTAATTGCAGCTTCGTAACCATTATAAACAGCTAATTCAATATAATTCTTGGCTTTTTCTATATTTTTTTTACATCCAACACCATTATAATACATATTTCCAATGTTGTACATTGCTACTTTAACACCATCTTCAGCAGCTTTTTCATAATATTTAAGAGCTTCGGAAACATCTTGTTCAACACCATTGCCATAACACAAACAATCTTCATATCTTACTTTTACTTCAGGGAATTCATTTGCTTCATCATCAGCAACTTCCTTATATAATTCAGCAATAATTTTATCTTTATTTGGAGGGCTCGGAACCAACCCTCTCGAAATGTAAAGTGCTTTATAATATTTTGCTTTGATTTGATTACGGTTTGCTGTACCTCCTGTATTACCAAGGTTTGCATAAGCTTCAAAACATTTATATGCAGTTTTTACATATCCAACTAGTTTACCATGTTTATCATATAACTTATGTTGTTTTGTTGCATCAGTGAGTGTCATATATTTAAATGATTCAAGATCTGGAAGGGCGTATGCATCAATGTTGTCTGCTCGTTTTGGACGAGACTTTTGCATGGAGTTGTTTCTGCTGTTTCCTCTTAGGTTTGGGCCACTAGAACTTGATGTAACTTGTGAATATTTCTTGAAGCAATTATTAAGAACTTCAAATATTTTCGAGATTTTTGGCCTAAAATCTGGATCATGATGAACGGCTAAAAAATATGTAAAAAAAAAGAAACCAATTAATTACAACAAATAAAATTGTAATTTAAAATATTTTCTTTTACATACCTTCAATTTCTAATTGTTTGAATTCCTCTGGCATTTGACTTTATTCAGAAAATGGTTCTCTGTACGTTTTATTACGCACCTCATCAGTTATATCTAAAATATTATTATTATCCTGATATGGAACTCTTTCTTCAGCAATTTCCCAAAGTAAGATTCCAAAACTATAAACCTCACATCTTTGATCATATTCATAATTTGCCCTCTCTAACAATTCAGGTGCGCGATAACGAATTTGGTCTAAGTTTTGGTTTGGAAGATATATAACGGAACGAATTAATTTGAAATTTGCAAGTTTTGCTGTCTCATTAAGTGTAATTAATATGTTTTCAGCTCTAATATCTCGATGAAAAATCTAAAAAAAAAACAATTAAAAAAATTTCGTTAATTAAATAAAAGCTGGTTAGTAAATATATTTACCTCTACAGTTCTTAAAAAATTTAATCCACGAGCAATATCAAGGGATATACGTAATTTTAATTTAAGGTCGAAATCATTTTTATTTTGATAAAATTCACGCAAGTTTCCATGTTCAGCCCATTCAGTTACCAAATACCATTGATTTCCATCAGAAATTATTCCATAGAATTTTATGATGTTTTGCCAATCATGAAGTTCTTTAAGAATTGTAACTTTATTTTGTACAATCATATAGTTTTCTCCCTCAGAGAAAGTTTTAAAAGCAAATACTTCACCTTTGTTTGTTGTTTTATGCCATTTATTTACACGTCTATAGTATTTACGTGTTTGCTCATTAATCATTATCATCACTTTCATAATCAGAAAATTTTAGTGGATGTATCTGAAAGATATTATCAATTTTTGTTTGATTTTGAGAAGTTTCATTCATAAATTTTTCCATTGTATTATTCATTACATTAACTTTTACAACAGTTGAAAAAAACTTTTCACTTAAGTCTGCGAAGCAGTCGTTATCATTAATATCAGCCACCATTCCTAGTATATACTATAATTATTAAAATAATTTAAAATTAATTTTATGTTCAATTAAAAGTATAATAAAACTCAATTTTTTTATAATCTTACTTTGATAAAATACCTTAAAGAGAAAAGTGTTGAGAAAATTTTTAAAGAATTATGTATGGAATTCGACAGTTGTATTAACTTATTGTCTTTTTCTATTAACGTTGAAATTGCTGATGAACTTGAACAATTAAAAACCGATCAAGATGATTTATTTAAAGTTTTCATTAGAGAGATTTCTGATATAAATTTTTTAATTTGCGTTATAATAGTAGATAATTCTTGTAAACGTATATAATTTATTTTATTAAAAAAATCATCTCTGTCTTTTCTTTTATCTCTAAGATCTCGTACGGCTAATTGTGCAACACGAACTCGATTTTTTAATATTTCACAAGTTCGTTTATTGTGTTCAGCAGCTTCTACTAATTCGATGATTTCGTTAAAAAAATTTCCAATTTCATTAATTAAAGGAAGAAATTTTGTAAGTGGAACAAACATGAAAGCACTATCTACTAAACTTTCAGTAAAACTATACTTTTTTGATCCATTATCTTCCATTTCTAATATTTATACTAATTTAATAAATAATTTAATCGAAAAAAAGAGATTTTTTATTTCACAAAAACTACAAAACTCTAATTTATTTATTAATGTATATGCTGTGTTACCATTGTAAGGCATCACCTCGCGTGTTACGAATATTAATAGTGTTGGTTACACTGCATAAAGGGCGTGACATTTTATGCAAGTGACAAATAGAGATCAGGAATTTCTAAGTCGCTGAGATAAATATAAACAACGAGGCCGCCGCCATCACGTGACCATGTGACAAAATCATCACCTGTACTACGCGAGGTGGTGTGGTAAATTTTACCCCATTGTAATCCAACTTTTTGTTGCTTTACTATCGAATTGTGTCGGGGTCACGTGATAGTAACAGTAAGTTTATCACGAAAATAAAGTGTATATGTTTAATTTTTAAAATATAAATTTATTCAAAATAAATAATAACTTAAAATAATGAAACAATACAAATAGATAAATACTAATTCATAAATCATAACAAAAAGATAAAATATTGCTGCCTCCACCGGCGATCTGAAATATTACCGATAAAACTAATACTAAAAATTAATACTAAAATAAATCTCTTGAAGTCCCCCTTTCCTCAACGTTCACCCATTATATATATATTGTTCATATTTTCGGTATAAATTATACTAGATATAAATTATACTTTGTATAAATTATATGAAATCTAAATTACACCAAGTATAAATTATACTGTTACGCCGCCGATCATTTAGATTACCTGCGAATTTCTTGATACACAATTATAATTATTTTTAAATAGTTTCGGTGTGGCGCAGTTCGGTCATCCTTCCTCGTAACAGTTGCGTTAGGAATCCAAATACGATAATTTACAATGTATGGTTACAATAAAATATTTCTAATAATTTTGGATTCTATAATAGCACGTAAATGGGTATGTATACGTAATACGTTATCTTTTATTAGATATTTTTCGTTACACTTATTACATTGAGATATCGATGTAAATGAATTCATGTTGCACAATTTGATGACCTTTATAAAATCAGGCCCAAGAAGGTCCTCACCAGCGCGGAAAAAAAGCCTGAAAAGTTTCGGACAAATTCCGGTAAAGCATAAAAATTCCGGATATTGGTTTTTTTAACCGGTATACATTGTCCGAAATTGAAAATTCTTTCCTGTTTTTTTTATAATCACAATAAATGATTATAATTTTGAACTGAACAAAGCAAACTATAAATTTTTAGGAAATCCGGATAGATTTCCCACGCTCATCTGCATACATAGATAAATGCATATTATTTCTAAAATTGAGAACCAATCATAATTTTATATTCCATAAAAAAAAAACTAATTAACCCGACAATTGCATCATTTTTCTTACACGACTATGTATGTACAGTAACTTTTTATGCCGGATGGCGCGATGAAATAGATAATCACGTAACTTTGAGAATATTAAACGGATGTAGTAAGCGTTAAAATCAAATAATCTATTAGTTAAACAAAAACTAGGAAACGGGAACCGTTGTAAGTCCAGCGAAAAACTAAAATTTGTGATTTCATTGGGTGACGATCACGTGGCGGACAGAGAAATTTACGTGATCGATTTTTTTTCATAGTGCGTAGACATATATTGTCCTTCGCTTCGTTCCGGACAATTATTCATAGACTATATTCTTTTAAATTTAAAGAACTAAAAGTAAGTATTAGAAATACGAAAAAACAATTTGCGTTAAAATCATTTTTTCTTGATACATCACCGTAAAAGAATTGTTCGTGAGGTAATTCAATTTTTTTAATACATTATATTTATTTTAAAAATTTGAATTTTATTAGTTAAAAATTCGACGTGAGTCAGGTATTATCAAGTTATCTTAATAAATAAATATCATTAATATATTTTTTAAAAAATGATCACTCTCGATTCCACGCGACAATTATCAGCCTTTGTTATAATTAAGTTTCATCGTCTTACGTATTTTATTTTATCGCTATTAACAAAGAAAATATAACCATTTGAACACATAATAACTTCCATCATAACTTTGGAACAATATAATCATCTTACTTTGGTTACCCATGCCCTAATCGCTCTTTCGCTTTCTTTGTTTGGAGAAGAGTATCTATAAAATTTTGACAGAAATTTTTTTTTCCAGACCAGTATCACGTGATCATTTAACTTTGGACGGATATTGTGCATTTTTACTACTTTTTTACTACTATCGAAATTCATTTTTTTTAATTTCCTTATCCAATGACTTATAAATGAAAAGATGTGTTGTGTAAATTCTGCTGCCTAATATTTTCTCTAATGCGGAGTGAAGCTCACATTTCGCAACATCTCATTATATGGAATGTATACGTTTTCATCAATCCAATTAATCCATACATTTGAATTACAGTAACTTTAGGTTCATTGTTAATAGACACTGAGTTACAGAAAAAAATTTTTATTGCGAAAGATTAATTTACTATTTACCATCCTTATATGATCATCCACGGGATATACCGTAGCACCTAGCTGTAAATATGGATTAATCATATGTTATTTATGATGAATCATTTGATATGACATCATAAAAGATCACCAATCGGCAAATACTAAAAAAAAAGATGTACTTTTTTTGGTTTTTTTTTTTTTATATAACTCTTTTAAATTATAATTTTAATTTTAATGAAAGAAAAAAATAATTTTCGATGACTTCATTTGTAAATATTATTAACGGTAAGTTTCGCAGGTTTTTTTTTTTTTTTTTTTNTTTTTTTTTTTTTTTTTTTGAGAAGTAAACTTTACATTAATAAATGCTATCATATATATTTTAGATATTTTAGACTTTCTTTTTTGGTATATATCACGATGCCAATACTGGAAAATTATATGCCTTGTAATAATAAGTGTTATAACATTATTTTTTTCAATTATATGGCTAATTAAAATTAATACAGCACATCATGATAATGTACGTAAAAAAAATATGAAATTTTAATTATTGCAATATTGTTTAATTACTAATAGTGTCTTATTTTTTTCTTAGAAATGTGATAATGCAATTGAAAATCATGATAATGTGAATGAAAGATTAAGTATTATAGGGGGGAATTTTAATGTTATAGATAAAAGAATTGATGTTTTATTTAAACGAATAACTGTTATTGAAAAAAGAACAGATATGATGGATAACAATATTGATCTCCTACACAAAAGAATGGACATTATTAAAAAGAGAATGGAAAGAGTTAATGAAAAAATTATTAATCTTATTGTAAGTATTAAAAGTTCTTTATCTACTATGCATTATTTTATTTATGATTAAAAATATTTTTATAATAGAATTATAGCAATTGATAAATCCCCATTATTTGTTGTTTGGAATTTTATAAGCATTCAAAGAATCTTAGATGATGCATTAATTGAGCTAATTTTGTACTTTCATGTAAACCTCTTAATCAACTATTATCTTATCCTTATTTTCCTGTAACTTCAATTATATTATTTTGAAATTCTATACTTTCTTTAATTCTTCATGGTTGGTGACAACTTGTAATAATAATAGATTATACTAAAAGTCAATAATCAAATTAACAGTTAATGAAATTCAAAAAGCATCAATATTTGACAATCATAATTCAATACAATAATATAAATGTTTTTCATCAAAGTTTGTAATTTATAAGGTTCACGTTATTGTCTTAAACATAATAATTTTTTTGTTCAATTATTTTAATTCGTATTTTGTTTTAATTTTTAGTTTAGGTTTTATTTTCATCAATGATTTGTTATATATATATATACAGTATATATTTTTAGTAAAATTATGGATTATAGATTTTACATAAATTTCATTTTCAATGATTTTAACAGACAAAAATTAAAATTAAAGTTATAATTGATTAAAGTAACACAATTATATTTTAAAAAAATTTTAATTGTTCCGCGTTGCAAAATAGTATGACTACTATTCTACGATAAAAAAAAATTGAAATACAATAATATTTAATAATGTTGTTTTTTCTGGTGACACGTCTTGTAATAGGAAATAAGGAACATATTACAAAAAGCGAACAACGAAGAATTTTACATATATCCTCTCTATCTACATATACTATGTTATTATCTAGCATTATGGCACTATCTATGTCCACCACAATACATGAATGAAAAATTACAAAGAAATCACTAAACAGTTTGCGCCTAACTATCTAATAAATTTACTAAAACTAACGTGTTACTAAAATTAATTTTTGTATAAATTTTTTATGTAAATTATTTATCCTATCTAAATTAAAGAACTTACCGAAATCTTTTGATCCCCTTCTTTTTTATACTGATCTCGAAAATTATCCTGAAATTTATAGGAACGCTCTGTCATCTTGATTCTAAACTTGGATGCACGTCGGTGGCGGGTATTGAAGAAGTAACATATAAGTGTAACGTAAGATTTTACATATTACATGGGGTATGGGCTTATAATAAATGGATATTACGTAATAAATGTCACTGCCCTAAGCAATCTTTTCCAAAAGCTCATTTGGCGTTTTAGCCAGTAATTCACATGCAGAAATTCTATGAAGAAGTGAAACAATAATTGTTTATTAATAACAAAAATTTTTTAATATTTTTCAAAAAGAATCTTGAATCCAATCATTGGAACATGCTTTTAGCTTCTCAAATACTGGAGAATTCTGTTCTCTAATTCAAGTATAATATGACAAATGCAGTAATTCGAAAATTAAGCAATACTATCCGACTGCATCAGATTTGGCAATGAATGAATAATGAGTATTTATATTCATGTGATTAACATTATTGGGCATATGGCAAGTTGCAAACTAAATCTGGAGTATTGATTGGCTGATTGACTCCGCATGATTTGTTTATTTCGCATGTGATAAAATGTGGAATATGTTTATCGAATTATCGCAGATATTCATCGGCAAATTTTTTAAAGCAAAATCTGCAAAATGTGATTTTATTACGTTATTTATAACTTTTTTATATTATATTATTTTGAAACTTTAACTACGAATACATTTGCCATTATAAATCATATATATTTTTGAATAATAAATTTATTACGAAAAAAAAAAATTGAAGCAGAATTTTATTTATCATTATTATATTGGTGACAAATAAAGTCTGGGAAAAATTGAATCTATAAATAAAATCAATCTGAAAGCTATTATCATTTAGTAATAATAAGTATAATATAATATTTAAATTTTATTAATTTTTAAACAGTTATACTAAAAAAAATACAGTTATGAACCTAAAAAAAAAAAATTTAAGTGGAATTTTTTTTATTGTCTTACTCCTTACCAAACTCATGATATAGGCATATATGGGGGTTCTGGGACAGAATCCCCATATATGCCGGTGATCCCTTATAGTCTCCCAGTTGTTTTCCTGATATACAAAAAAATCTGTAATCTTATTGAACCCCAATCCGCTCTTCATTATCAGAAAACATATCAAAATCTGATATTGAATTCAAGCTTAAAATCATGCTGGGCTCAAATTCTGTTAACATATCTCTCTTACCCAAATTTTTTGTTTTCAAGATAAAGGAGAATACCATCTTTGTTAACGCGCTGGCCTTTTTTTAATCCCAAATAATATAACGAAAAAAGTATGCCATATTGCTTGCCCCTCAGGAGAACCCTGAACACCGAGGACAGAAGTGTCCGAGCATGTTCGGGGTTCGACCTGTCAAGCCTAATTTACATACCTTATTTTTATGTTATCCTAGAATTAATTCTAGAGCTGATTCATTAATGTAAACAAATACAAGATAAGTCTAACCTCGTAGAGGTTAGATTTATCCTGTACAGGTATCCAAATTCTTGATTAAAAAAGTATTGAGCATATTCTAGTATACCATTAATTTCTTGATATGCTGAAAACCATTCTAAAGACGATTCATTTTCACATACATAAGGACAAAAAAAGTCTAACCTATAAGTCTAACCTCAAAGTCTAACCTCAAGAAGTAATCAAATTAGTGAATCAAAAGCGTATTAACCAAGTTTTAGTATACCATTATTTTCTCGATATACAGGAAACAATTCCGAAGCCATTTCCATGTCACAAAGCTAGGGTAAAAAAATATCCTCCCAATAGCATACAATATATAGGTAGCAAGAAAGAATAAGTATGAGCTGGCAAAGCCCTTTAGGGCGACGCCAGTGAATACGCATTCGACAGGAGGAACGATATAGCAGGAACATGAGCCAGCCCTTTAGGGCGAATGGGCAAATGTGGATGCTATATCGTTCCGACCATATCTACCATATTTTAATGTATGCTAAATATATGAGGCAAATAGATCTCATTATTTCTGGCTCTAGCTCATAAACATATTAAAGACTCACCTTTAGGGCAGGCGGAACATGTAAACAAGATATGTTCATGACTAAGTCTAACCTCTAAGTGTAAAAAAAAATATCCTCCCAATAGCATACAATATATAGGTAGCAAGAGAGAATAAGTATAAGCTGGCAAAGCCCTTCAGGGCGAAACCAGTGAATACGCATTCAACAGGAGGAACGATATAGCAGGAACATAAGCCAGCCCTTTAGGGTGAATGGACGAATGTGGATGCTATATCGTTCTGACCATATCTACCATATTTTAATATATGCTATAAATAAGGCAAATAAGAATGCCAAGTCTAACCTCTAAGTCTAACCTCTAAATCTCACATCTAAGTCTCACCTTTAGGGCAGGCAGAGCATTGTACACAAGATATGTTCACCATTAAGTCTCACCTCTGCAATGCGCATTCGGCAAGTCTAACCTCTTCACTATATTGATCGAACATCTGGGCCGTATCCCGAAGCATATTCACATGCCGGATCTGATATTTGCTAGCCCCTTCGTTCAAAGAACTTCAGGGTGGGTAATTTCAAACCAGAATATACTAACTGATTTCGAAATCTCTCCTGCAGACCTTGGACAAAGGAGGCCATAAATTCGAAAATATATAAAAGTAATTAAACATTATGGGGTAATAGGATTAAATATTTTAAATTGAGAAAAAGTTTACACATATATTAGAGGTTAGACTTAACATAATATCATAGTATGAAAAGATAAAAAGAATCATATTTGTGAATGTTGTGGCAAAACTCTTGCTACACCACAAAAGCTTCGTCAGCATTATTCAAGTACAAAAAATCAATGTAGTTTACCTTCTGAGAATAATATTAACCAAAGAAGGGTAAACACTCCTAAGGTAACTAGACCTATTCGACCAAAGTCACCTAGACCTTGTTCACCAAGCCCTGTCCCAGTTCCAGTAGTCCATACTAAAGGAAAGGATTGAAGAAAGGAGAAGGTAACCCCTACTCCAGTTCCCGAGCCAGAACCAGAAAAGGAGTTACCCAAATCCAAAACTGTAATCACATCTTCCAAACCTGGTGAGGTTAAGCGACAAGATGCTCACGATAGAAATGCAAGAAAGTCTGGTGAGCATTTGAGAACATGGGGTGCAAGATTACGCCGAAGATGGACTGAAATAACTGGAGAAGAATGTGATTTGCCAAAAACTTTAAAAGAATGTCAGCGCCTACATAATGACCTATTACAAGCAGATGATGAGTCTTTTGAAAATGTTCATGCTTCAACTCCTTCAACCAAGCCAGAACAACATCCCACCCAACAGAACGAAGACCAAAGGGCAGAGGATCCTGAAGCAGGACCAGGCCCAACAACCCAAGCTAATAGAAAAAAGGAAAGGAAGATAGTAATCCCTATTACGGCAGTAGACATCCACTTTGAAGAATGTCCTGTTGGTAGGGATCTAGAAAGACCACATCAAAACCAATCTTTAATGAGCAAATGGGTGGGTATAGTTCCTCATCCAGAAGAAAATCCAGCATATGCTTTTAATGTTCCAGTATTTGGTCATGAATATGCAGAGGCTCCATATATACCCCAACTTATATCAGCATCTCGACCAAAAATAAAAGAAGTTTATCAAACAGAGCTCCATAGAAAAGATCAAATAAAATCAGCTATAGTAGTAAAATGCTTGTATAAACTTACTAAAAAAGATAAAGAAGAAAGAGAAGATAATGATGATTTTGCTAATAGAGTCTATAAAGTAAAACATCATAGAGGTAAGATGCGACCAATTCTTTTAGAGGGGGATATAGATGAGCATATAACTCTAACTGTTAGGGAAATAGATAAACAGGTTGAAGAAGCATTACTAAAGGGATCTGGATATACTCTCGAACGAATTGAAGAAATATCTATTGAGGCATATACCCTCCGTCGAGGCACAGGAGGATCTTACAAACCAACCCCCAAAAAATTAGCCAATACTAAGTCTACCATCAATCCAGATAATCAAGGTCTCATTGATCCAGAAACGAATAGGCCTTCTGAAAAATGTCTCCAAGGGGCTTTAGGTTGCTATTTCGCACATCAGGATAAGCCTGATACAGACCATCTTGAACGAATCTTCAAAGCTAAAAATCTAAAACAATATCTAGAAAAGGTCAAGCTAGATGGTATTCCAATGCCTACTCCAATCTGTTCACGTATATTCGATAAGATTGAGGAGATGAATCCAGATATCTCCATCAGTGTCTGGGAATGGAAAGAAGAAACAGCTACACAAAAGCCTGTAATTGCTAGTAAAAACTTTAAAAGACAACATAAAATTAAACTATTAGCTATTACAGATATAACCAAATCTGAGGATGACAAGTACGGGCAAAAGAACCACTTTCTCTGGATCAAGAATTCCAGTAGATTAATATATGGGGATAGTGCGCATAAAGAAAAGAAGCATCTATGTGATGGATGCACCCAAAGCTGGCCCTCCGAAAAAGCTCTAGAACATCATATAGAATGGTGTCCCGGAATACACGAAAATGCACCCCAGAGAGTCACAATGTCAGTGAAAGGGGTAAATGATTTCGAGGAGTTCAAGAACTATGGCCGAATGATCAATGCCCCATGTGTTATTATAGCCGATTTCGAGGCCGACAATAAGAAGTGTGATGAAGCATATGGTGGAAGTATGCGAAAACTTGCCGAACAGAAGGCTAATAGTTTCTGCTACCTAGTCCACTGGATCGATACCGGAGATGTATGGGGTCCGTTCCTATACAGGGGAGAAAATGCCACACAGGAATTTGTTCGAAGAATCGATCAGGAACTGGTCAAAATCAATGAGGTCCTAGTTATCAAGCATGAGCGAATTGAGACTAAGGAAGACAAGAAAAGATTTGCAGATGCTATTAGCTGTTGGATTTGCAAAGGTAAGTTCGATATAGATACAGATGAAATCGAGCGCTTAGAAGTCAAAATAACCTATCTTAAAGAAAAACTAAAAAGCTTTAAAAAAGTGACAGCAGAATATAATGGTATCCAAACAACCATAGAAAAAGCAACCAAGGCAATTGCCAGCGAAAAAGCTAAGGCTAATAAGGTCTGGGATCACTGCCATATCACAGGTAAGTTTCGTGGATCAGCCCATAGGGATTGCAATCTCAAACTCCAGATACAGGATTGGAAAACACCGATCCCAGTCATCTTTCATAACTTCCGAGACTATGACTCTCACTTGGTCTGTGAATCTGTTGGACGTTCAGCTAATGCACAACATATCAGGGTTATAGCTGAAACATTTGAGCGGTATAAGTCTATGAAGGTGGGCCAGCTCAAGTATATTGATAGCATGCAGTTCATGAATAGTAGCTTGGCCAGTCTTACAAAAAATTTGGGTGATAACCACCCGATAACAAGCCAATATTTCAAAAAATTAGGTTATACAGAGGAACAATTAGCATTAGTATATCGCAAAGGAGTTAATCCCTATGACTACATCGATTCGCATGATAGATTTAAGGAGACAGAACTTCCTCCTATTCATGAATTTCATAGTACTCTTAAAGGTAAGATCTCACAAGATGACTACCAACACGCCCAAAAAGTATGGAAGGAATTTAGATGTCAAAATTTAGGTGAGTACCATGATCTCTATCTTAAGACCGACGTACTTAGTCTAGCAGATGTCTGGACAGAGTTTCGAAAAATGTCTATGGAATATTATGAACTTTGTAATAACTGAAAATATAATAAATAAATGACGCAGTAAATCCTGTGGCGCAGTAGGTCACATGATATGGTTACACAAGAAGAAATGGTTGGGAATACAAAAGTCACGTGACAAGTCACATGGCGCAGTAAATGACGGATAAACATTTAGCCGATGGATAAATAATTAGCCAATAAAATTATATTTATAGTTTAGTTTAGTGTAACAAGAAAGTCATATGATAATACATCTTTTATTTCTTATTATTCTTAGAATTTTGATAGAGAGAAAGAGTAGTAGATAGTAGAAATGATTTTCTTAAAATGTATAAATACAAGTGGATTTCGATAGGAAATTCGGTAGTTCAATTTTTTTTTTTTTTTTTTGAAAAATAAAAATTATTTCGTCGTTTAATAAAAACTAACACATTCTTTTAACCTTTTTCTTACGATGAAAAAGAGGTGTCATTTTTAATGACCTAAAAATAATTTATAAATTTGGAGAAATTATCGCAAAATTAATTTTGAGTAAGAAATTATGTTTTGTAATTTTTGTAACTAATCTTTATTTTAAAACCAAGCATAGAAACTATACGAACTCAACACGTCGGTGGCAACATACGATATTTTATTTTAATATCCTATGGGCGGCGTGTCACAACTTGATCCCAGTCACTATATTTCTGCCCCATCACTATCCTGGGATGGAATGCTTAAGATGACAGGAGTTAGGATAGAACTTTTCACAGATATGGCCATGCATGATTTTACAGAAAAAGCTAAAAGTGGTGGTATATCTAAGACTTGTAAGCGATATTTTAAGGCTAATAATCCCAAGATGGGAGAAGCCTATGACCCATCCAAACCCACATCCTGGATCTCATATGTAGACGCAACAAATCTTTATGGACATTCTATGAGCCAATATTTGCCTATCGGAAATTATAAATGGGAAGCAAGAAGGGAATATTTACTAAAAAAAAAAGCTATGCAAAAGAAAAAACTAGAAAAGAATCTAAAAAAAAAAACAGATGCAAAACGAAGATATTACTTAAATATTAAAACTCAATTCCCTCTAAAGACACATGATTATTTAAAAGACATACCTCCAGCCGTGGAAAATGTCACTGTAGAAAAGGATTGGTTATGTCCATATAATGCTAAACTTGTAGAACAATTAGATGGTGGACGCTTCTCTGCCACAGAAAAATTAGTTCCCCATCTTGGACCACGAAAGAACTATGTTATCCATTACCAAGAGCTCCAATATTATGTAAAATTAGGTATGGTTGTAGATGAAGTTTCAGAGATACTCTAATTCGACCAGACTAACTGGCTTGAACCATATATATCTTTTAATACTGAGAAACGTAATGAGGCTAAAAAAGTTGGAAATACATTCCTGAGTGACTTTTTCAAACTTATGAATGTATCAGTATATGGCAAGACTATGGAGAATGTTCGCAAGTACCAAGATGTCAAGATTATGAAGAATAATAACGAGCGAAATGAAAAAGCTTTCTTGAAAAAGATCCGCAAGCCCTCATTCAAATATGCTAGGCAACTTGGAAATACACTTATAGGAGCGCATATGGGAAAAGCCAGCGTGACTCTCAACAAGCCTATCATAGTTGGAGCATCTGTTTTGGGACTTAGCAAGCTTCACATGTACGAATTCTGGTATGGATATGTGAAGGAAAAATATGGGGATAAATCCCAGCTCGGCTATATGGATACAGACTCCTTTATATATCATGTTGAGACTGAAGATGTTTATAAAGATATGGATGAGAGACAAGATCTCTTTAATCTTAATGGAGATCAAACAGTTGGCAAATTTAAAGATGAAACCCCTGGTAATGTAATCACAGAATCCTATCATATCTGAGCCAAATCTTACCACTATGTATTGGCAGATAAGTCCACGAAGTCTAAGCACAAGGGGGTTAGCAAGAAGGGGATGAATGAGATGGCTACAGATACATACATGCCATCTTTAGAGAGATCTCTGCTTAATGATCCGATAGATAAGTCCTCATTAACGGAACAAGAAGCTATGCGAACTGAGGCAGATCCCATGACTCTAGTATATCGGGACTGTCTCTTTGGCAAAGAAGTATTCTACGCCAAGAATGATGGCATTCGATCAAAGGACCATGTATTATCCCTGGTCGAATCAGAGAAAAAGGCCTTGTGTCCCATAGATACTAAGCGCTGGATATTATCAGACGGGATTAGCTCTTTGCCGTATGACCATTTCCGCATCAAGGTGTATAAGAATATGGTCAAAGATGGTATCCCCCATGAAGAGGCCGAAAAAAGAGCTATAAGGGCTAAGCTCCCAGAGAAATATCAAAATGAAAGTACGTCTCACATAGCCAGCTCCCAGCAATAAGCTAGACTAGTGATGACTTCCGCATAGCACTTACATAATTATTTTATTTTTTTCTGGCGCAATAAATATTCAGTTATTTTTCCAGATTATAAAAATGCCTTCTAAAAAATATTACACAAATTCGGAAAAAGAAAAGATATACACTATTGTGAATATCAAAGAGTCTATTATAGCGCTGGAACGTGATGTAACTAAAATACATCAAAATCTTAAAACAATTGCCCGAGAAATCTATTATCTATTATCTATATAATGCTATGGCACCCGAAGATTTCGAAAAAAATGTTAAGAAGTGATATAGACGAAATGTACAACTCTATTTCTCATATTCATTCGGGAAAAGAAATACAATCCAGTGATAATTAATCAGTTATTTTTTTTTCAGGCCATAGATCGATAGTTCAAGGAAGTCTAATAGTCCGAAAAACTCTGGCTAGCCTACGAAATTCATCCGCAGTATTTGGTATATAGTCATAGGAACGGAAGACTCTGGCCAGTCTAAGAAATTCATCCCTTAGTTCGTAAAGCAAACAGATATCCTGGTAGTACCTGTTCAGTTCATGGTCATGTTTTAAATGATATTGTATATCACGTCTTGTAAAATAGCTTATAAATCGATTTTTATTATGAAGAAATTGCCTTCTTCTACTATAGTGAAAAGCATTTAAGAAAGCTTTATGGTGATATAACATAGAAAGAGAAATAGTCCTTGCACTTAACCGATAAAGAATATTACTCCATATATCACTAACCTTGCAATAGTTAACAAAGTTAGCTAGGCTAACATGATTATCATATAGGTGAAAAAGAATATTATCACGAATGCTGGGAATACTAATAAACTCGGCTTTTCTTTTTTTCCGAATAACATGCTTAGATACAACATTCCATTGATGATTTACTCTGGCACAACTCCTATAAAGATCTTTCCGACTGAGAAAGGCAAAGATAGCTTCAAGTAGCTCAGGTATTTCTAGGATATTATACATATTTTTTTGGTACAATAATATACAGTTATAAAAATATTACTAAAATGAGATCAGTCGATCGTGTAGTAGTTTTTGAAAAAATCAGAGCGCTAGAGGAAAGGCTGGATGTTATAGATAATCGTTTAGATACATTGTTTTCCTCCTTCTATTGTTCATCCGAGTCCAGTTCATCCGAGTCAGATTATGAGCCATGCAAACCTACCGCCCCTGAAAAATCCGGTAATAAGAAGGTGAAACGTAAAAGATATCCACCCCGATCTGTTAACGTTAAATCAACAAAATATTGAATCGATCAGTCTATCTGGTAATGGCTAAGAAATCGAGGAATAATAGGCGCAAGACCGCAGGTAAGTTCACTACTAATCCCACGCAGTACTTACCATTATGCAATCCGGCCAAATATGATCACACATATGATAGGGCAACTGGCTTTATCATTGTTAAGAATATAAGGCAAGATAGGGTAGTAGGCGTGTTTGATTATCCAGAACTGTGCGATTATCTGAGAGTCCGATCCGGTAATAATTAATAGTTATATTTTTTATACATAATTAGACTAATTTCCGCAGATAAGGAATGGAAAACGATAAAAAAGAGGAGTCAGAGACTCGAAGCGATCCTAAAAGGGCCAGCTATGCTTCCTCATCCAATATTTTACCTAGCGATCCGGAGGAGCTAACCAAAGTATTTGAGAAAAATTTGGAGGGACTAGAAAACCTTGTAAAATTGCTTAAAAGCGATGTGAATAAAATGATTGATATTTCCGATCCCAATTTCCCAAGCAGATCGATTAATGCTAGTCCGGAGAAATGATCATCATCTCGGAAGAATTGCTGAGCCATGCACTGCGCCTTCGGCCAAATTGTGCGACAAAATAAATGATCACACGGGCAGGTTTGTGCGACAGGGGAATTTCTCACATATCAAGCGAAAAGAAATTATATTAACTTCCTATTCATATTTTTTCCCCAAACAAACATGAGAAAAATGCGAAGGGAGGTCTAGTTGCAACACAGGACCTATCGTAAAAGTAAATATTGACGGCAAAAGCATATGTTATGAAAGGCTGAGGACTTCGCAATTTCGAGATCGCAGGCGTAAGACCAAATATGTCTCTCCGGTAGATCTACATGTGAAAAGGTAAGAGGATTCCGTTTACATGTGCTTTCAAAGAGCTCTTGGAATCATACGACAATGCTAATCACGCCTCATACCTCCCTAACTTCGGCTTGGAGCTCTTTTTCCCAGCAAGATATAAAGCACGTAGAGGTATGTGGAAGTTCAGCCAACTTTCCGCAAAAAACTTTCCCGTAAAAATAACGCAAAAAATAAGGTATGTACAGTATATGCCAGAAGTTATGTACAGTATGTATGGGAGCGAGTTTTTTTTCTCACTATAGGGTTTGTTTTATCAAATAAAGCAAGATGTCTTCCAAATTCACTCAAGCTGACAAGATTAAAAAATATGAAACGGAAAGACTTATCAAGTATTTGCGGGAGGATTCCAAATCAGAAGGCTTAGAACTTGACAATGACTTTTTTACAAAGCTTGAGGAGGAAAATATTACCGGTCATTTATTTCTCAAGTTAACCAGACAGGAATTTAGAGAATTCGGAATGGGATTGAGACCAGCATTGGAGCTTGAGGACTACATTAAGAAGCTGTGTGAGTAATTTAGCCGAAAGGCGCTTTGCATATCATTATATCTTAAATTTATTGAGCGTTGTTCTTATAACAGATGATCGAAAAGCAAGAGTAAATTTAGGAGATTTTCTCGTTAAAAAATAGAATTTTTTATGTATTGTAAGCCGGGATCCGGCAACGATTTATTTCATAAATAAAGTATTATTATTATTGTACTGTACATGAGAAATGGTCATGTGTAATGGTGCGGTCCAGGACTATAAATCTAACATTTTTTATCCGAACCATTCTAGCCTACATAAAAAACGTAGCACTATATCAGGTGATAAGTGAGAAGAGTCTTCACAGTTGGTGGGGCGCAGTGATTAGTCGATTGTTGCACCTATAATACCTATAATGCAATGTGGCTGATCACACGGCAGGGTAAAAATTTTTCCATAGATCCGTTTACTTGACGCGTGAACTTAGTAAATGATCGACGATCATGAAAATATTACTGTGAAAATCACGGGCGACCATTAGTAAACATGAGATAAAAGTAATTATTTTTTAATATTGACAAGGGGTTAATATGAACAATATGAACAGCATTCACCCGATACTAACGATTTGAATGAAATTAATTTCACAAGGTTTCATATTCAAAAAAAAATTTTCAATGAATTTTTTCTTATAAAAAGACAACGGATTAATGAATATTGCACATAAAATTTTTTAAGTTGAGAAAATATTACAATTACACAAAAAATTATGAAACAAAGTTTGACTTTTGCGGTCATTTTATTGGCCATGCTTTCCATGATCAATGCTTTTCCACTTCATAAAAGAAAAACTGAATTTTCAGATTGTGAAGGCCTACATCTCGATGTAAAATCAATGACGCCTGATCCTATCCAAGCAGGAAAAAACGCAACCTTTACCATTTCCGGAGATTTTACCACACATCCGTTAACGTCAGAATTCAAGCAATATATTGCAATTGGTGAAGGTTTTGCTTATATAGCAACCTATGATCAAGATATTTGTAGTGACAGCAGTGTCAGCAGTAGTGACATACCCAAGTGTCCAGTTACCGATTATAATACAACGATGACGATTCAGGTGCCAGACTATTTAGACAGCAGTTACGTACTTTTAGTCTTTATTTGGGATGGGAATTATACGTCGAAGGGGCCGGAATGGTTGGCCTGTGCACGTGCCTTTGTTGGCCAATGAAATTGCTGACGGGTGTCCTATCGCCTCATATCAATTAAAATAGTTTTTTTTTTCTTGATGAATTAATCCTTTTTTAATAAGTCATTTTTTTTTGCTAAATTTGCCAAACTAATAATAATTACAAACCAATAAAGTAAACTAATTCTTTAATTACTACGGTTGGTCTATGATTATGATTTGCGTGAGTGTCTTTGCAATTCAAAACTGTATGCATGTTAGAAATAACAACCAGTTTTTCATTTGTCTAAAATATCTATACAATACATTATCCCAACAATAACTCCGTGATTTTGCCCAACCATTGATTTGGAGCGAGATAAGCAATGTGTTTATTGATCATGAGTATACATATAAACTATACTGTACCGGTGAAACGATATTGAGTATGATATGACTTACGTTGTATGTATGGTATTGGGCTATATTTTTTAAATTTATAAATCCTGTGTGACCGCTCATCGAATAACTAAAACACACAATCTCCAGCATAATCCCGGCTCTATATGAATACACATAATCTAACTCCGCCTCAAATCTGTATAAATTTGAAACGTGTTATTCACTAGTATAAGTTAATAAAGAATCGCTAAAACACTATAAAACTCTGAAATCGCTATAAACACTAATTTACTAATAAATATGCCAGGTGATATGGTTAAGATCATATTAGATAAGATTTATAATAAAATTGTACCTAAACCTATCAATCTCCGCCCTGGGTATGATATGGAACATGTTTTTAACTATCGACTTCAAACTGATAACTATCGATATGAAAAAGTGGTTGAAATAGAAAAACAATATGATTATTTATCTATTATTAGACCTCATGAAACTTCCCAGCAATGGGCTAATCGTGTAAGAGGTCCTCTGCAAGAACTACTTTCTAAGCGAGAATATAGTTTATATCATGTGTACTGCCTCTTCGCTTCCTTTGGGCAAGTAAAATCCACAACATACTATGTTAATGGTGATTTAAATAGTACCCCCTTTGAATATTGTAGACCTAATGTCCATAAAAGTCAGATGGCTATCTGCTTTAAATGCTGGAAATTGGTGAAGATTACCGAAGTAGAGCCTAGAAAGGAATATTATAGTGGCTGGGGGAGATGGGCCTATGAGGTTGAGTCCGAAGATTTGATGAAGAATCATTGGAATTACTCTTGCTTCAAGGCTAATACTGCAACTATAACAAAAAATACTATGCTAAGTGCTTCAAATTTCGAGCCAGCTTATATTCCACCTTCCGGGCAAGAAATGATTTCACCAACTTCTTATCAATCATCGAATTGTAGAATTAATACAAGTGAAATATTTATCTCGTCTCTGTATGCTAAACAAAATAATTTACTACCATCCATAAACCATCTTAATCAGCCAGTGTTAAAATTAGAAGATGGAACGGAAATCACAATTGTTTAGGAGGAATTTTCTGAGAATATTCTTAGTATTTTTTCCCAGAATCTAGGCCTGGCTAATTTTTTGGCTAATTTTTTAGGCGGAAAGTTTTGCTGGAAACAAATGGAATACCTAAACTTCTGGGAAAATATGGAATTTCTGGACTTCCTGGAATATTTTTTTTTTCCGGGAATTTTCCAAGACTATATACTTACCCTATTCAAACATATGGCCAGCCAACTACATTTCAATGATCACTATAAGAGTTTGCTTGACCAATTACCCCCATCCATGAAAAAGGATGTATGGTTACGCCTTACAAACTGCAAAAATAAACCATTATCTGAGGAGCAGGTTAGGGGTATCCATCCAGACATTGAGGAGTTGCTTACTAGGGAGGTTAATAGATACCATAACAAAAAAAATCGCCAGAAGATTAAGATTGAAGCAAATGCGATCCCAGAGGGATCCTCCACCTTATTTCGGCTAGATGGATTTGAGAAACAGTTAGAGGAACGTGAGCTTCATGTACAGCAACGGGAGAATAATATTAAGAAAACTATTGAGGCCCAGGTTGCTGAGGAACGTAAACATCTAAAAGATGAATATGATGCTCTTAAGTCTCGTCTGGAGAGTGAATATAATAATTGTATGGTAGATATGAAACAGAAAATATATTCATTCAAACATCAGCTAGAAGAGCAACAGAAATCCGGCTCAGATGACTTGGAGAGGCAATACAAATCTCGTATCTGTGCTTTGGATAAATCTAATGCTGTGAAAGATAAGGAGATTGGCAAGTTATCAGCATCCCTATCACGATCTAAAAATGAAATAAAGGATCTTAAACATGTCCTTTCTTCAGTTAAAAAAACTATCAAGACATTGGATGATATTATCTATTCTAAAGACCAAACAATTATTGCCTATTAAGATGGAATCAGTTCTATCAATCCTGACTGTATAGATAATACTATAGAGCCAACTATCTTTTATGAAAAAGAAGCCAAAGTATTGTGGACTAGATGGCATGATGACGCTAAAGATGATCTAAACATCCGAAAAAAATATACTTTTCGAACTCATGTCTAGGCAAGGCTTAACCGAATGGGTACCATATTTTTTTCTAAATATGGGTTTGATAAACTTTGCATGGGCTTTATATGAGAATTCTTGACTGCGCATGGGTCTGACAAATTTTGCATGGGCTTTACATGGGATTTCTCAACTGCGCATGGATTTTTTCGTAAAAAATGTTGCCTAAGATTAGCAGGATATCTAAATTCCTTTCCACAATACATACAAGTTCGATCAGCTAGTTTTTTTTTATAGGTTCTGGATCCTTCCCTACAGTAAAAACATTACGCTGGGATTTATGAACTGATAAGGGGATAGTAATAGTCTTCCCATTTCGGCTTGCCTTAAATTCCCCCTTCACTAAGGGTTCCCATCCTGCACGATACTGCCATTGTGTTCCAAGAATAAATAGGGATAGTTCTTTTCCACTATCATCATATTCTGTAGGGACGACAGAGAATTCATCCGGAATGGTGTCTCTATTTTCTCCATCCTCAATAGTTACAGGAACACTATCAACTGTACCAAGGGAATGGGACTTACTCGCAACACCATTAAGACTATGAATCTTTTTCTTATCTATTTTTAGACCCAAATGTTTTGCAACATTTTCTGAGACTATTGACGAGTCTGATCCACTATCAATCATTGCATAGGGTATAGTCACGCTCCCCACCTTACAGGAGATGGTTGCAACGTCGTCAGCATCCTTTATTTGTAAAAAATTTATCTCTAAGGGCTTGGGCCAATATATTTGGCTATTTTTTTTTTGAGCCGATGCATAAGCCTTAATAGCATGTTCTAGCCGGATGTTCTCTGGTAAAACATGACTAGTGGATGTAGTATTAATTTCCTTAATTTTAGTCGAATCAGCCATAACTATATCTTCTTTAAGACTGGGGGCATTCAGGATAGATTCATTATTATCTGGAACTTGTAAAAGAGGCTTCTGCTCACTATTTACTGCCTGCAATAGTGGAAATAAGATGTCTTCGAATTTACTTATAACATTTCCCCATGCTAATTCCCTTCTTTTAACTGTATCATTTGGCATAACAATATTCAAGCAATGGTCTTTTAATTTGGGGAATATCATATTAATAACTTTCGAAATTTCTATAAGAATCTCTCTAGGACAATAAGGGACTAATGATGATATTGAAGATTTTAAGGCTATTTGATACATTAGGTCTGTAGCCATGATTATATTGCCTGATGCTTTGCTAGCATGAGATTTGGAAGTAGGGGACTTCTTGGTTGCTCCTTCTTTCGATTTGATGCTCTTTTTCATAGGTATTCCACTTCGCACCACTTTTTTTTTGTAGCATAACAATTTCGAGGTTCGTCATCATTTTCATCAACATATTCAACATATTCATCATCATCTTCGATTTCCTCTTCTTTGGGATCCTCTTCCTCTTCCACTATGTATTCTTCGGAGTCTTCAGGATCTTCTACCTCATCTTGGTATACATAGTTAACTTTTTTAGTCCGCTTGCCTTTGGGGCAATTAACCTTTGTATGACCAGCCTTTCCACATGCTGAGCAATGCCGAGTTTGCTTTGCAGATGCTTTTGGCACTACCTTTCGAATAACTTTCTTTGTAGCATAAGCACTTCTGGATGTAAAAGGGCTTTTTCTAACATGGGCAGTTGTGCCTCCTAACCTCTTTTTAAGTTCTTCATAAATAAAATTTTCTAATGTAGCGTCATCTATTCCTATTCCTGTATAAGCTAAATCTCTTGCTAGCCGAATTTTAAAATCATCTTTTTGTGGTTGAGTAGTAAAGCTAACTGAGGTTGGTGCAGGAGCTTGTATTCTTTTGCCTGCACTTTCATGCCATATATTGCATAATTCTGTAAAAAATGCATTGACTGTAGGAGGATTAGCAATTCTAACTCTCATTTCTAAATCGGAAGGCAATTGATTAAATAGATAAGGTAAGGCATCAGCATCTAGCATTGCTTGTACTAGCGGTTTGATTCGTTTTTCATAACTATCTGGAGTATCTGTCTCTAAAAACTTTTCATTAACAAGAGCAAATATAGCACTTCGGTTAGTCCCTACCATAACTTCTCTATATCTTTCACGCAACCAGTTTAGGAAGAGAGGTTCAGTAACAATAGCTGGATTACCTCCGGCATATGGATCATTAGCAGGAACAGGTGCAAATCTACCTGTCATCTTATTTATCATAACTTGACATCTTACACCAGAATTAAAACCAACAACAGCTAAGGGACGTGCAGTCTCATTTATATTTCTAAGCCTTTGATAATATACATCTGGTGGTTCCTGCCAATCATAACTGGGTAATTGTGCAAGTAAAGGTGATAATGTATGCATAACATCTTGAATAGTAGCCATGTTTCCGAGTGGGTTGTTTTGTAAATTCAAAATAATTTGTCGTGAATTTAATTCCCTAGCCTTCCATTTTTGGTATCTATTAAATACCCATGCACGATTGAATTCTGCCAAGTCGGCCTAAGCTTTGCGCCTCCTAGCTAATATTTGGAGAACTGCCTTCTCTTGTACTAATATATTAATCAGATTCTGCTTTCTAAAGGCCATTCTTTGACCATTAGTTTGCCTTTCCTGAGCAATTTGAAACCAACGAAGAAGATCATTTGCCTCATTATTATATGCTATAGTTAATAATTGAGCTCTTCGAAGACATTCATTTCTAACATTTGCCATATCATTAAAAAAGTTATTTATCTGCCCATTAGCATTATTGAGCAAATTATGAGCAGTATTAAGCTGGCCTTGTAAGTTAATAGCATCTTGAGCATGCCTTTGCATATGTCTACGAACAGTTGTTAATGAGATCCATATCCCATTCAGTGTATTTCTTGGATCAAATGATGTATCTCCATTAATATATCTTTCAATCCGATCTAGAGCCGTACCAACATTCCTTAAGATATCTGGCAGTGCCATATTTTCTTGTTCTTCTTCTTCAGAAGGTTTATTACTGTTATTTTGAAAATGTGATATCTTGAGAATTTGGCTTTTGAGCTTTTCTACTGTATCTTCTAGCAGAATGATTCAGTTATCTTGAGAGACTAATGCCTCATCCTTTAGCTCTAAATGATCCTGACATTTTTTGAGATTATATAAGGTGGAGTAGTATTCTGCTTTTAATCTATATATATCATTCTCTCATGAGATAAGATTTTTTTCAAGATATTTGATATATAGCTCACATCGCTCTAGATCATTTGTGAGCTTGCGAATCTTCTCCTTATTTCTAATGGTAATAGTTTCCTCTTTAGTCAACTTTATTCGCAATTCTAAATTGCTGTCTAGTAAATCGATATATGCCTGCTCAACTCCCATTGATTCCTATAATCCACATAAATACCTCTAGAAGAGACGAACTTGTATCTACTACTTTGCAAAAAATTTACTACCAGCCTATCGGCTATCATAGAAATGCTAAAAAATTGCTTGAAGCTTCTCTAAAAGCTGGGTATGATTTTTCTCTAAATGAAATGTATGATTGGCTCGAAAGACAGGCTGTACACCAGATACATAAGCCTCGTCCCAGATATATTCCTCGAGCAAGTTTTTGCTCTATTACCACCCCTAATAAAGTTCACCAGGCAGATGTTCTCTACATGCCTTATGATAAAGTAGGACGAGTCACCTATCTTTTTTGTCTTAATGTGGTTGACGTGGCTTCGAGATTTAAAGCTTCTGTCCCCATTGGTGCATATAGTGTTAAGGATAGAGAGGGCATCTTAACTTCTAAAACTATTGCTAGGGCTATTGAAAAAATCTATGATGATCCTGAGTGTCCTCTAGTTTGGCCGGAAACATTTTTAACAGATAGGGGGCCAGAGTTCAGGGGTGATTGTGAGAAATTAATGAGAGAGCATGGTGTGAAAATTCAGAAGGCTAAATCTAAACGTACTATGGGTATTGTCGAGAGATATAATCGAACTTTGATTGATAAATTATTTCCTTCCCAGGACGCATCTGATCTTTTGACTTTACACTTAAATAAGATATCCAGGGTTTGGTTAAAGAATTTGGCTATAGTTGTTGAATATATTAACAATTCTAATACAGATCAGCTTGGTATTTCTCCTGTTGATGCAATAGAGAAAGAAGAGGTCTTTGCTAAGCCTTCTTATCCTCGGGATGGTTCTATAGGCTTTGATGAAGAGAAGCTTTCTGGTGATATTCTTGTTCGATATTTACTATATCCTAGTGATTGGAGGGTGGGAGACGCCGTGCTGGTGATTTGAATTGGTCACCTCATATTTATCATATCTGTCAATCTATGGTACAAAAAAATCAGCCGGTCTTATACTGGCTGGAAGAAGTCCCTTTTGGGCTAATTGATAATGATGATTATATTCTCAAACGTCCTGAAAGATCTTTTGTTCAAGAAGAATTGATGATTATTCCTTATGATACAGAATTGCCTCCCCAGTGGGTGCTCACGAATTAAGGAAGTCTTCTGCTTCTTCATCAATTTTGGCTTCTATAACGAAATAATCCTTAGCTAATCTATAGTATAGCTTGTATAGTTCCATAATGGAATTAAGAATCTTTGGATCTTTTCCGTAATATGATTTGTAGTCATCCATAATTTGATGATATTTATCTTTATTAGGGAATATGGTTTGGGCTAACTTTAGTACATATTCTTCAAGGTCTTCTGCTTAGCGTAATTTCTTAACTCTCTCTTTATAATTTTGCATGAATTTGCCATCCTTTGGCTTTCTATAATAGATTCCTGCCTTGACTACATTTATTAATGCCTGCTTTACTTCCTGGTATGTGGGCTTGGTTTTGGGTAATTGGATTTGTGTACTCATTATGTAATTAGTATATGTATTACTATATTGTGTAAAGATTTATTCAATTAAAATTATTTATACAACTATAAAATGGGTGAAGGTGCTAAAGCAAAAGCAAAATTTATTTGTTATTATCTTCTTAATACTGGTGAAATTTGTGGCAGGCGTAGTACTAGACCTGAAGGTTGTCGATCACACTTTAAAGCTAAGTTGCGCCAGTCGTGCTCTGCTTGTGGTAGACCTACAAAGATAAATAAACCTACAGGGATTGATAATGGCCTATGTAGCTATTGCAATAAGAGCAAATATCAGATCCGGCATGTGAATATGCTTCGGGATAAGGCCCAGATGTTCGATCAATATAGTGAAGAGGTTAGACTTGCCGAATGCGCATTGCAGAGGTGAGACTTAATGGTGAACATATCTTGTGTACAATGCTCTGCCTGCCCTAAAGGTGAGACTTAGATGTGAGATTTAGAGGTTAGACTTAGAGGTTAGACTTGGCATTCTTATTTGCCTTATTTATAGCATATATTAAAATATGGTAGATATGGTCAGAACGATATAGCATCCACATTCGTCCATTCACCCTAAAGGGCTGGCTTATGTTCCTGCTATATCGTTCCTCCTGTTGAATGCGTATTCACTGGTGTCGCCCTGAAGGGCTTTGCCAGCTAATACTTATTCTCTCTTGCTACCTATATATTGTATGCTATTGGGAGGATATTTTTTTTTACACTTAGAGGTTAGACTTAGTCGTGAACATATCTTGTTTACATGTTCCGCCTGCCCTAAAGGTGAGTCTTTAATATGTTTATGAGCTAGAGCCAGAAATAATGAGATCTATTTGGCTCATATATTTAGCATACATTAAAATATGGTAGATATGGTCGGAACGATATAGCATCCACATTCGCCCATTCACCCTAAAGGGCTGGCTCATGTTCCTGCTATATCGTTCCTCCTGTCGAATGCGTATTCACTGGCGTCACCCTAAAGGGCTTTGCCAGCTCATACTTATTCTTTCTTGCTACCTATATATTGTATGCTATTGGGAGGATATTTTTTTACCCTAGCTTTGTGACATGGAAATGGCTTCGGAATTGTTTCCTGTATATCGAGAAAATAATGGTATACTAAAACTTGGTTAATACGCTTTTGATTCACTAATTTGATTACTTCTTGAGGTTAGACTTTGAGGTTAGACTTATAGGTTAGACTTTTTTTGTCCTTATGTATGTGAAAATGAATCGTCTTTAGAATGGTTTTCAGCATATCAAGAAATTAATGGTATACTAGAATATGCTCAATACTTTTTTAATCAAGAATTTGGATACCTGAACAGGATAAATCTAACCTCTACGAGGTTAGACTTATCTTGAATTTGTTTACATTAATGAATCAGCTCTAGAATTAATTCTAGGATAACATAAAAATAAGGTATGTAAATTAGGCTTGACAGGTCGAACCCCGAACAAGCTCGGACACTTCAGTCCTCGGTGTTCAGGGTTCTCCTGAGGGGCAAGCAATATGGCATACTTTTTTCGTTATATTATTTGGGATTAAAAAAAGGCCAGCGCGTTAACAAAGATGGTATTCTCCTTTATCTTGAAAACAAAAAATTTGGGTAAGAGAGATATGTTAACAGAATTTGAGCCCAGCATGATTTTAAGCTTGAATTCAATATCAGATTTTGATATGTTTTCTGATAATGAAGAGCGGATTGGGGTTCAATAAGATTACAGATTTTTTTGTATATCAGGAAAACAACTGGGAGACTATAAGGGATCACCGGCATATATGGGGATTCTGTCCCAGAACCCCCATATATGCCTATATTCATGTATTTTGCTTCATCATCTTCTGACAACTTTATGTTGTGTAATTGAATAGTGTGCCTGGGCAATTACAAGTTAGTGAAGAAAAATTAAAAACACAAAAGGATTAGTATGGTGGCAAATCATATAAATCTATGAGAAAGTAGTATCATGCAAGAGAGTAAGGTGCATAGAGGTATCTTATACAATCACATGCTATAGTTACTTACTATAAAAACTATAATTAAATAAAAATAAATCTATATCTATAAATGAATAAAATATTTTCACTAGAAACTCTAAATTCAAAAAAATAAATGAAATATATAATACTAACTATAATAATAAATAAATCTACACTGGTCGAAATCAAAACTTTCGACCGTTAAGAGCTTTCGGCATAATTTTTGCCGATTGGTCATGTGATTCGTCACATTTTTTGACCAATGGCAAAAATCGGTAAAATCAATCACAAATCAACTAATACTGATTGTTAAACGAAAACTCATTCAGTC